CAAGCTCCTAGTCTAGTGGTAGTAGATCTCCCGACTGGCTACGGGTCATGCACTACCTGCACACAATCAGCAGAAGCAACCCGTGAAGGCACACAGGTGGAAGAGATAAAATGCAGTAAATAAAAAGCTAGAGTAACAAATTCTCACGTTTCCCCAATAACCTAGAGGTGCCCCGGCAACGACGCCAAAAACTTGACACGCCAAAACACAACACCAAACTGCGACCAAGTGTAATCGCAGTCCGGGAATGCAGTAACAGGCAAGTTCTATTATCAACCCGGGGTCTAGATCTACTGCTTACTCCGTGATTATTTATTATCTAACCAACTAAGTCGAGTGATTTGTGTTTAAACTAAAAGCAGCAAGAAAGCAGGAAATTATTCGGTTTTCTCAAGCAGGAAAGAGTCACTCGGGAATGAGTCCCCCTAGCTCCTTAGTTAGGTTCAATTGCAATTACCCTGGGTTGATTTACTGTTGATTAGACTGCGGAAGATCCGACAGTAGCTTGGAATCTCTTAAGCTGACCAAGCCCTCTCAGTCTAACTACCCGGCAGACGACTAGTCTTCACCGAGATAGAAAGCTGAAGCAGTAAGAACAGAACTCCACTACTGGAATTGGATTCCAGTACAAAGCAGTAAACTGGCTAACTCTCTTATAGCCAATCTCCTACTACCGAATGATGAGACTCTAGCAACCTAATCAGATTCTATCTATCTCAGATTGCAGCAGGAATCAGGAAAAGTTGATCAGACTTCAATTGACTCAATACACATGCATCATTCGATTAAAATCAAACAGTAATATCATCCCAAGTCATTACAATCAATCCCTAACACATAGAACTAGGGTTCTTCATCCCCAAGTGAGAGAGGGGTTCTACTCCATAGAGAGAGAGAGAGAGGAAAATAGTAATCGGAGTAGTCATACTCATAAAGATGAGGAAAATCTGCTCCGGGATGATGATTTCCACTCCTAGGACGATCTCCAAGCTCGATTCGATGAAACCCAGCTCCAAGATAGCTTCTAGGATGTGTTCTTCGTACTTTCTCTCTCTAGGGCTCTGTTTTTGCTCAAAAAGTCCGATTTTCTCACTTGTGGCTCGAAATTGGCTGAAAAACCAAGATTTCCCGACTCGCACGGGCAGGCCACACGGCCGTGTGGCTCACCCAGTTGCCCGTGCGAGTCAAAACGCTGCGTTCCAATTAGTTAGATCTTCAGGCTTCCCACACGGCCAGGGTCGCACGGCCGTGCGGGATTTCCATCCTGCCCGTGCTTGCTCTCGACGAAAACCACACGACCACAAATGTGAGTTGCACGGCCATGTGATGTCCAGGAATGCCCGTGCAGCTTCCTTAGCACCTCGTCACGCGTCCGATTTTCGTCCAATCGACCCCAAACTCGCTCCCAAGCCTCCATTCACGTACTAGGACCTGGAATATCACAAACAAGCACAACCTAGCGTGAAATCGGCCTAAAACACGAGAATCAACACCTCAAACGGTGTAAGAACAGGGGTAAAAACATGTGTAATTAACGGTCTATCAAAGATCCTTCAAAATTTTTTTGTAAGTGGCATCAATTTTTGAGGGGGTCGGTCTACTTACAAAACTCGACATTTTTCCTGTGCATGTGCCCCTTAGAATCGAGGATCAAGGAAACCGAGCTCAACTCATGGGAGAAGAACTCTTACGCACCTTAGCAGGGTTATTTTGGCCTAAAGCAGCGTAGAGCTCATCCAGCATCGCCTCACTATAAACCACGTATTCCAGTCCTGGACTTAATGAAGAAATCTTAACATTAGAATATGAGCGTCTTTTCCATGGTGAGGAGGATGATGATCTGGCCAACCACCTAAAAGACTTCCTATGTGATGCATCAAGAAGTCTTTATGAGCATTTTTAACCTATAACTCTTCCGTTTCTCTTTGAAAGGAAGAGCACATGATTGGTTGCAATCTCATCCTAATGGGATCTCCGAAATGTGGGGTTCCCTTAAACAAGTTTTCCTAGAGAAATATTCTCACATGAGTAAGGCTGACAAGATAAGGAACCAAGTTATAAGGTTCAAGCAAGCAGATGATGCGACTACTCATGGTGTTTGGACTGACTATCATGAGTAATCTTTGACTTATCCACACCTTGGGTTTTGGCTTGGAGCAATCGAAGGAGCGCCACGTGCCTCCTTGCACAACTAATGTTGTCCTAGCTACCCTCTTTCTCCCCGCAACTGGCTCTTTATATGCCTCGAGTGACATTAGCTAGCTCTTTCACGGTCAGAGATCAAAGGCTTGATATGAACATCCAGATCGTGATCGGCTAGAAGGGACGCGTTTTGGCCAAAAGTTCACAGCCTCCTTGAAAAAATCACGGTTTGAGACCGTGATCTCTGAACTAGCCGCCAACTGTGCGAATGACTCTGAAAACTTGGCTCGCTTCACGGCCTGCTTGCAAGGTTCATGGTCCACAACCGTGATCTTTACCTGCAACCTTTGATCTTTGCCTCTTCTTCACTCTTTGGCTCATTTTGACCTCCAAATGACCTGAAACTCGTCCCCGACCTTCTCACACGTACTAGGTCCTGGAATGTGATAAAAGAAGCACATGTCGAGGTACGATGATTACCAACTCAAACAATCAGGATAGAAAGGGTTAAAACATGTATAAATATGCTCGAATCAAGACACACCACATGCTTTGAATGCTACTAAAGGGACTCCACGATCACCCTGAGTCAGACCACAGTCACGAGAGACCCACGGACAATAATTGTGCTACTCAGAAATCTAACTTGGGACCTTAAGTTAAGATTGCCCACACAGACATTGAATCGTTTGACTACAAGCCCTCGTTTGCCATTTCATATTTTAGAGCAAAAGAAAATCCTTTGATGAGCTCCTGCGTTTGTTGTAGTTTTTATTTTATAAGACTTTTGTTGTAGGTATCATTTGCTCTTGAGATTTGGGTGATGGATTTGGCACCTAAATCCCAAGCATCAAGGACTTGGCACATCCATTGTTTGTTAAGGGCATGTTTGGAGGATGCGATTCATACAATTGATGTATTCTATCAATTAGTGTATTGTAAATATATGCATTGTTGTATTTGGTAAATCCCTTGTTTGGTGGTGTATATTATACTTTTCACATAACCTAAAAATAGTACACTATTCATATTGATGGGCATAATTGCCCTTCACCTACTCATCCTTCCTTTATATCCATTCCAGGTTGGCGGGGAAGGCTATTAGGTCGGGTAAAGCAACAGCGAGAGGAAAATAGAAGTGGGTTCCAGCCAAATGACGGAAACGCGACAATTCTGGTGAATCCCCGACAACGACCAAGAAGAAATCTAAGTAATTTGCAAGTGCGACTCTCCTGCAACCGTTAGGACGTCGCATACAACGGGTAATCCAAATAGATGGTTCTTCGGCTGCTTGAAATGGAGTCCAAAATAAGTGATGTCCTTCAATTCCCGGCTAAAACACAAGGCCCTTCTTCTTTCGATCTCGGACGAATTCCAATGGCGAGATACAGCTACGAAGTCGGCTCCATCGTGATGGTGAGGAGGCAGTGATTCCTGTGGGATGCAAGGATTAACGTGGATGGCGAGGTAGATGAGTTCAAGGATTGATCTTCTGGAATTCCGACACAGGTCGTCGAGGGAGGAACAAGATAGATTTTACCCTATTTCTAGCTTCTATGTGTCGATGGAAGGAGAGAGGGTTAGTGGAGGATGAGGTTAATCTTGGTATAAAGAAAAGAAAATAGGGATATAAATGGAATAGAAAGTTAGGCCACAATCATTTGTTTACAATCTCTGATTGAAGGAGAGATTGTAAATCATCCATTATGAAGGATTGTGAGTGGGCCCCAAAAAAGGTAATGCATGTATTTCAGCCCGAATTAAACCAAAAAATAACTTAATCTCCTCAATGCATGTATTGGCTAAATCATTCATCTCAAATCCTAACTTCCAAACAATCCCTAAGAGACACAAATCCACGGGGTTCACGGATTTGGACCCAGTTTTTTAAATCCAAATTCGTGGACCCCATGAATTTGCAAATCTCATATTTATTTGGAATTTGATAATGAGAGGCAAAATTGTGAGATAGATTCATCATAAATCCATAATAAAAATAAACTAAATAAAAAATATACTTTCCCAAATCCACAATGCTACAAATCCATCATAAATCTAACAAGCAAATGAGCCCGTAATTTTTTATTTTCGCTTTGGTTGTACTCTAGTGCTTTTTTTGGGTGGAAAAACGGGACGCAAAAGGGCGTCCCAACCTTTACTGAGGAATCATACGGGTCGTTTCAACCCCCACATAGTCATGATACAACCAGTACGAAAGAGCACTATTGGGCACAAGGATCCTATGGGTTCCCAACGAACAAGTATGACCCAGATTAGCCAAATAATCTGCGACGACGTTAGCTTCTCTGTAGATATGAATCAGGCTAACCTGTCAGTCTCTGGCTAGAAGCTGTTGGATCTGCTTAGCTCTCGTGAAGTGCATATGTTGTTGATCTGCTGTCTCAATGAGGTTGATGGCTGTTGTCGAGTCCGTCTGCAGGAGAACCTTCCGAGCCCCTGCCTCCCAAGCAAACCTCAACCCCTGCTCAATTCCAGCTAACTCGGCACTGGTGATCGACCCCCCCCCCCCCCCCCCCAAGGTTCATGGTGAAGGCAATAATGAATCGGCCGTCGTCCCCTCGCACGACCCCGCCTGCCACCGTACTCGAAGGAGAGTGATACACGGAATCATCTGTGTTGAGGCATGTCCACACTGGCTCTGGGTGCTGCCAGCAGATGGGTGTTGGTGTATGGAGTCCCCCGGCTCCTCCAATGATAGTTTCCTTCTCCAACGCGCGAATTATGCTCTGCCTTAGTTGGGCCGAGTGAAACTGAATTTGAGCAAAGGACCGAAGTTCATTGGAAGCAGAAGTTGATCTCTTAATAATATAAATATCTTTTGAAGAAATAAACCTGTCACAATTTTCACTATACGTCGAAATTTACACCCCTGTTCCGCTAGTATTATTTCTAAACTAAAGAAACACAATAATTTGACCAGAAAAAACAAATACAAACAGTTAATCATTAATAAAAAGAAGAAGACCGAATACGTCGCACAGTCAATACTCAAGAAGACTGCTCTCTCTGCTATCTTCCTTCCCCTCATCTTTCCAAGCTTACCCAGTCAGTCAATGGCCGCCCTTCTCTCTCCTCTTCTTCTTCTTCTTCTTCTTCTTCCATCTCCATCTCTCTCCTCCTAACCCGAATTTCCGCCTTCCCCTCCCTCCATTTCCCCACCACCATCCCCCAACCCGAAACGGAAATCCAATCAACAGAAACCAGACGACGGAGATGGACACAGACGCCAGGATCTGCTCCCTTCTCCTGCTGAGTTCCGTATTCTTATTCTCCATCCTCTCCCTTCTTCCCCTCTCCACCGCCATTGAGGACGACTTGATGTGCCTGGAAGGCGTCAAGAAGGCTCTGGACCCGCAAGGGCGGCTCTCCACCTGGAACCTCAACAACAACTCCGTCGCCGCTGTCTGCAAGCTCGACGGCGTCTCCTGCTGGAACGAGAAGGAGACGCGAATCATCAGCCTCCAGCTCCCTGATTTCCAGCTCTCCGGTCAGCTCCCGGAGTCTCTCAAGTACTGCCGCAGCCTCCAGGTCCTGGATCTCTCCAACAACGACCTCTCCGGTTCCCTCCCTCCCCAAATCTGCAACTGGCTGCCGTACATCGTCACGCTGGATCTCTCCGGCAACTCCATCTCCGGCTCCCTCCCGCCGGAGATCGTCAACTGTAAGTTCCTCAACAACCTCTACCTCAACGGCAACAGGATGTCCGGTTCGATCCCCTACGGCCTCGGCCGGCTGGACCGTCTGAAGAAGTTCTCCGTCGCGGATAACGAGCTCTCCGGCTCGGTCCCGTCCGATTTGGCCACTTTCCCCGAGGCCGACTTTGACGGCAACGGCAAGCTCTGCGGCCGGCCGCTGGGGAAGTGTGGCGGATTGAGCGGCAAGAGCCTGGCGATCATAATTGCCGCCGGAGTGATCGGAGCCCTCGGCTCTTTGATTCTAGGGTTTGCAATTTGGTGGTGGCTGTTCGGCAAGAGGGCGGCGGCTGCGGGCACTCGGAAAGACGATTCGAGCTGGATCGATTTTCTCCGGTCGCGTAAACTCGTCCAGGTTTCCCTCTTCCAGAAACCAATCCACAAGATGAAGCTCTCCGATTTGCTGGTGGCCACCAACCATTTCGAGTTCGAGAACATTATCATTTCCACTAGAACGGGGGTTTCTTACAAGGCTGTGCTGCCTGATGGGTCTGCCCTCGCCGTTAAGAGACTCAGCGGCTCCAAGCTCGGGGAGAAGCAATTTAGGTCGGAGATGAACCGGTTAGGACAGCTGAGGCATCCCAATCTTGTGCCATTGCTGGGGTTCTGTGCGGTGGAGGAAGAGAGATTGCTGGTGTACAAACACATGCCTGGTGGAACTCTGTACTCTCAGCTGCACGGGACTGGTTTTGGGATTGGTCAGGGATGTTCACTCGATTGGCCGACCAGGGTAAGGATCGGGGTTGGTGCGGCCAGAGGGCTCGCCTGGCTTCACCATGGATGCCAACCTCCTTACATTCATCAGTACATGAGCTCCAATGTGATACTCCTGGATGATGATTTCGATGCTAGAGTCGCGGATTTTGGGCTCGCGAGACTGGCTGCCACTCGTGATTCGAATGATAGTTCCTTCAATGGTGACTTGGGGGAGTTCGGGTACATTCCTCCGGAGTACTCCAGCACTATGGTGCCATCGCTGAAGGGGGATGTGTACGCATTCGGGGTCGTGCTTCTTGAGCTGGTCACAGGGCAGAAGCCCTTGGATGTGAACAATGGGGATGAAGGTGGGTTCAAAGGGAACTTGGTGGATTGGGTGAACCAGCTGGTGATCACCGGTCGTACGAAGGATTGCATCGATAAATCGCTGGTGGGGAGAGGTCAGGACGACGAGATGTCTCATTTCTTGAAGGTTGCTCTGAATTGCGTGGGTTCTAGGCCGAAGGATAGGCTGGCCATGTACCAAGTTTACGAGTCCTTGAAGGGGTTGGCTGAGAAACATGGGATGACAGAGCAGTACGATCACGAGTTCCCTCTGGCTTTTGGTAAGCAGGTGGTTGGTGATTGCAAAGAGTAGAAGATTATCGATCCATTGGAAAAGGAAATGGAATTCCTATTGGTTTGTGAAAATTTGTTGTCTGCATGGAGGATTCGGAGAATTTTTTTTCCATAAGTGGATTAGAAATTTAGAATGCTGCTGCTGCTGCTTGTGCTTCTTCCACTTAGAACAAGATAGATCGAAAAGACCAACCAAAAACCAGTGTGTTGTTATGTGCTCAATCATCTTGTTGGTACAAAATTTTCTGTACATTATTTCATGAAAAGCAGATTATGCCCTCACCCTCACTAGTCAGTAGTCACTGCCATCACTGTACTTCGTAGTTTGGTGTATCTTAGCAATGCAGTTGCCGGAGAAAAAAAGATTGGTGCTTTATAACAAACAGTCGCCGGAAAATACTACTCGGTCATCGCTTTGTCTGGGATCACAGTACTTTTACTTCTTTTGACGAGTACATTTGCATCTACAGTTTGGGGGACATCATGTGTTTTTGTGTGACCACATTCATTCTATGGGGAGAGATTGAACCCTAGGCGAGCAACAATTGGATTTGAAACAAATTGTGATCTGCATTTGTTACATCGAAAAGTATCGATATCGAATTTGATCGGGAAGATTTTCTATACGAATTTTATAACTTCGATCATCATAGATGTAAAGAAAACACTAATCAGATCGCACGGAGTGGACCACCTGTTGTTACAGTATTTTATATACTGCGAGCCAAAACTGGAATCTCTCATCATCAATCAGGTTGCGTGAGGCGGACACTATCACCAAGTTTTGCTTGTTTGACCAAAGAAACAGTTCTGCTTCTGTTTCTCCCTCAGCTGAGTTTGAAATGGCCCATCTCATTGGTTACTGCTAGAACTACTGTTGCCTTTTTCAGCCATAGATTAGTCACTCATCCATCGTCACTCTCAACTCGCAACTCAAAGCAAGCAAGCAAAGAAAAAGGAGCACCAAATTCTCGTGAATGCCATTATAACACAGGTTTTGGTTTTTTATTTTTGGCGATTAATCGGCCAGTCTCCATAACTGACATTTGATTGACCGGCCACCCACTTTTTTGGATCTTTTCTGTTAGGTTTTGCTTTTTGAGGAGTGAAGCTGAAACGGGGGCATGTGGTGGTTGTTAATAGCATTTTGTGGACTTTTATTATTATAAATTAACGAATGCAAATATAACATTTTAATATAAAAAACATAATGAGTTTATCCTTCCGTTTAATTATCTATTAAGTGATCATTACAGTATCTAAGAAATGACTCAATTGTCCTTCATTTATTATTAAGCACTCCAAATTTAATTTTAATTATTTTATGTAATAAATCAATCAATTAATTAAAATATATCCCTAAATTAATTCACAACCACTCGAGAAACCTTCCATCTCTCCTGTCGATTAATTCCTCAACTTTTGAGATATGTGCTCCCAGCTTCTCCCAATGGTAGATCCAGGGGTGGCCACCTCGGGCCACGGCCTAGCCGTACTCTAGATCCGGAGATAGTATAATCCTTATTAGTTTATCGATTTTAGTCATTTGGTCTAGTGTTATTTTATAATAAAATTGTGTGTTATTAGGAAAATGGTTCAAATGAACATATTCAAAACACAACTCTAAATTTAGCTTAGAAATTCTAACTCGAATGATTCTCGTCTAAAGAAAAATAAACAATGATACCTAAAATTCTATAAGTCTAAAACATAAAAGACTAAAAGAAATATGAGTTTGTTCTCTTGAAAAATTACTAGAGCAACTCTACTATGTCTCCGCTTGCTGGTTTCTCCTCGCCGCCGACTCGAGTGGAAAGAACAGGGTGATACGACGAGATGAGATGGCTAGACGTGACGTCGACAAGAGAGCGCGCATCGGCTGTAGCCATCTGCGTCTCCCCTCGATCAAACAGCAGTGGACCAGCTTCCCCGACTTCTCCAGCGATGATCCGATGGCAGCTTCCCTGTCGATCCCTCTCCTCGGCCAGGCCTCTTCTCCAAGCAAACGCACAACATGAGTTGTATTGAAAATTCTTGACTTGTAAGGGGAGATTAATTGACAGGGAAGACAGAAGTTTCATTATCAAGTGCCTGCGAATTAGTTTAGGGTTTGTTTTAATGAATTGATTTGGGACATAGAATAATTTAAACCAAAATTAGAAGTGTTAAGACTAAATGAGGGTAATTGAGTTATTTTCCAGCCACTTTAACGGCCACTTAATAGATAATTAGATGGAAGGATAAACTCGTTACGTTTTAATATTAGAAAGAAATATTTGCACACAAATTTAGTAAAGAATATTAATTTACAATAATAAAAGGGCACAAAATGCAATTAACCTTATTCAAAACTATTGATATTATAACTCGAACAATACATCTTCGCCATACTATTTTGCATTTACATGTAATATGTTCCTGTTTATTGCTTGCTATTCTTGTCGAGCCAAACTCGAAAATAACATTCATTCTATATGTAACATATTGTTTGGGTATTAGGCATATATAATAATACAACATTTTAATTTTGAACAATAATTAATGAGCTTTTTCAGGAATTGTAAATGATTTCAAAGTATATCATTTTAAACTAAATGTAACTTAATATTTAAAATCGTTTTCAAAACGGAAATTACTTTACTAGAAATAGTTAAAAATTATTAATGAAAATATGCGAAAAGAATTGTTTAAAAATTATTGAAAAATATTATGGAGACAAAATAGAAACTAGCTAGTATTGGGTGCATTAAAAACGAAAAACTTAAGATTGGAAAGTAGTAAAGGAAAAATGCATCATTTGTAAATAATTATAAGTGACTGCTAGAAAAGATAATTATTTACAAGTGATTCAATAAGATTATTTGGAAGACATTTAATTATAAATGACTTATTTTATTTCGTTTTGAGATATAAATTATAAATACCTTCCTAGTAAAATAGCACGCAAAATAGCAGGATTCAGTTGTTCGTAGGGATGGCAATGGGTCGGGTCGGGGCCGGATAGTGCATATCCGTTACCCTACCCAATGTAGTTCGGGTTTTACCCACACCCGTATCCACACGAGAAACGGGTAGAAAATCAAAACCGTGCCCATACCCGTTCGGGTTTCGGGTATCCACGGTTATCCATGGGTAATAATTTCTCCTTATAATTCCAACCAATATGTTAACATTCACACGTATACTCACATTACGTTAGAGGAAAAGTACGACAATAATTCACTAGAATGAAGAAAATTAATTAAAACAACATAATTTCATGAAAATATTATATTTATACGCTAAATATAAAATATTTTAGAGAAACATAATGATTATTTCTAGTCAAAATACATATGCATGTGTATAATCGGGGCGGGTTCGGGTTGGATAGTGAGATAACCATGCCCACACATTACCCGCAATATTCGAGTTCGGGTTTTATCCGTACCCATGAAAAATGCTTCGAATTCGAGTTTTACCCTACCCGATTAGATCGGATTCGGGTGGATATCCACGGTTACGGATATTTTTTCCAAGCCCACCAACCGAGCTAATATGTCGTTTAAACTTTAACGGAATGAAAAAAACCCACAAAGGCAAAAGAGTCGAAAAGATGGTTCGGCGAAATCCTTTGCTCCTACTCTTCCTTTTCTTCTTCTCCGTCAGCACCTCCATCTCTGCAGAGCTGAAAGCGTCTCCTTCGGATCACGGAACGTAAGCTTGAAATATCTGACCCATTGCTCTTCCTTCTTATTTGATTTCGTTGTTTGAGCAACCTATCTGATCGATGTTCATTCCATTTCTCTCGAGCGTTGAAGCAGCGGGAGCAATGGAGGGTTCCGTCGAAGAGTTTTACTCGGTTTCAAGGAAACGCCTAGCGGAAGTAACACAACCTTCGATTGCGCTCTTTCCGGGGCCTGCGTACCCTGCCAATACTCAGAGAAGGTTCGTTCTCTCCGTTTTGCGCTAGTCGTCCTCTGGGATTGAAATTCAGTGTCTTTACCACTGTTTGCTGTTTGATTCGGCTAATTCATCGATCTCTCGATTATTCCCTTTGGATTTATGTTGAATATGTGGAATAGGAGCTCCTTTGTCAGATCTCTTGTTATTGATTGAGATTTTGTGGCTATGTCCTTAATGGTTTTGTTTCTTTTGCTGTTTGTCCCCTAAATTTCAGCAGAGCGAGCCAAAGTACCGATGCAGTGAGACTGGGTATCGTATCCCGTTGAAATGTGTGGAGATAAAGGACGGTGTCAAACTTGAAAAACAAGGAAAATCTAAGAAGAATCGATCTGATCTGGACACGTCTGATGAAAGTAGAAATCAAGAGACTTCTTCGACCGAGGGTAGAGATTTGGCGGAGGACTCAAAGAAACAAGATGGCAGTGGATCACAGGCTTACATTACTTACAGAAGTTGTATACCGCCTGTCGATGAAGAGAAGGTTTCAGTGCTTGGTTTTGAGGTATGTGAATGTCCTTTCCGGCAGGTATTTGATGTTTACTCAACCAGACAGATAGGATGAGAATAAGTATGAGAAGCGGTTGCGATGAAGATGACCCAAATGACGCTTTGGTTAAAAAAAATGTCAATGCAATGAATCAGATTCTTTGCTCTCGTGGTTCTACTTCCGAGTTAGGTGTACGATGCAATCGTCACTGGTCTTTTGCTCCTCTTTCTCAAGTGATTAGGATCTGCATAATTTTACCCGTTATTGTTCTCCCTTACATGGTTGTGGCTAGAATGCATGTGCTATCTGTCTAGAATATATAATAAGTTGGTTTTCTCAGTAGATTTTAGACCAGAGTTGTCGAACGTTTAGTGTGTGGTTCAAATGGTATGCTGAGAGCATTAGTGGCTTGAGAAACAAGTTTTAAGCTCTTCTGGGTTAAGATGCTTACAAACTCAGCCGAACGTTGTTGGAAGGGGTTCAGCCACACAATGTGTCTAGGAAGAGCATAGACAAATATCTCAGCAGTCGGATAATAAACATTCACTTGAGACCTGACAGTTGTTTTCATCCTTACAATTTTGGAATTAGACCGGTAGGTGCTAGTCCAATAATCCAACTTGATATGAAGTTAGAAACTCTGATCTTTGAATCTTTGCTGCAGGGCATTGTGTTGTTCTTCATGGTTGCAAGTGGTTCATTCGTGTACTACCGGAAGAAGCAGACAGGAACTATGCCAGGTGCAGGTAGAATCCAAATGAACTCTCGGTTTTGAACCCTTGCATAGCAGTTGCGCGGTCCGTAGCATTGTAGAGTAGGAGAATTATATTATACTCCCAATCTGCCTCTTCCAGTCACTTCGATACGTTCATATTTTCAATGTATTGTGGAATTTTCCTGTATGTATTGTATCTTTGCTCTTGTAGTTGATGTTTTTCTTGCAATTGATGCTGTATTTAATTTAATCATCAGTACTTTGTAGTCACATTGAATGACGAGTTTTAGCAGTTTATACAACTTCTGCTTTTCTCGTTCAGATGCGTACAATGTTGGAATTTTGGACCTCTTTGTAGTAAGTTTTGGGCTAGCGTAACAAATACATTGTAAAACAAAGAATCGCATCTGAAGATCTAACTCTCACCTCTTTCTGAATCTGAAAACAACAAAATCTTCTCTTTTCTCTTAACTACACATCTACATCAATACTGACTGCATCATCAATGGTACACAAAGTGGGCAATCAAATGAGTGTTGGCGCCTGGCGGTGTGTCGGCTGTATGGACAAGAGGAAAGCAATTGGCGGGAAGGAAAGAAAGTTAATTTAAAAAGTAAATCTTCATAGCTTGATTTTTATTATGTAAAAAGAGATAGTGGAAGGGTAATGTAGCGATTTTCGATCTCGGTCATTAAATGGAAGTTATGACAAAAAGCTAAATTTGTTATGTTTTGAATAGTAGAACTGAATGTTTGTAAAAAAAAAATAATTAAGGGTACATTCGTTAACTTGCAATAATAGAAGGGCATAAAATGCTATTAACCCTATTGCGAACAACACATATAGTAGCACACCATAAATTCATAAACATAGAATATAAATAACCTTTCATTGAATCATAGAAAGATACATAACTAAAATAGAATTCACATCCATAAATAACTTTGAGCTAGCTAAACATTAGATAGAAGACATCATCAATAATGAGTAATATCGATGGTGAGGACCTCCTCATCGAATTCAAGTGCTTTGCCTCCTCTCTATGGCTCTCCAACTCATGCCCTAGGGGCAGAGTGTTGGTGGGTTGTTTTCATTAGTTGTAAAGTTGTTTCTAAAACCTCTAGTCTAAAACCCTATTTATACTAGTAACATGAGGGTGTTTTCAAGACTTTTCCCTACTAAAGTCGACTTAAACTTTCCTTGTACAACTTGGACTCTGATTCTTCTAGGGTCGAAGCAAAAAGCTTCTAGAAGCTTCAAGAACTTGAGAGTCGAGCGACGATGGAGACCGTCCATGGGTCATTGCTAATTTTCTTCGTGGGTTGGGTTGCTTGTGGGCCAAGCAACCTCTTCATGAAATTGAATCCACGGCGGTTGGTGTTAAGTAGACTCATTCTGACATCGTCAAGGATAATCATGTTGTACTGGGTCTGCTTCTCTGGACCATAAAATGAGTTTCCAATCTCCAAATCCTTTTCCCTTTGAGCCCACATGCTTGTAATATCATATTCTTTCTTATCCATTAATGATTCATATTCCTTTTGAGTGCATTGTATCCTTGAAAAGCAGAAAACAACATCAAAAGGTGTAAAATAGTACAAAGATATACTCACGGTCTATATTAAGCACATAATTCAAATAGTTACGATACTCATATGAAATCATGTAGAAAATTTCAAAAGATGCATTGATAGAAGGGAGGAAATGTATCAAATATGAGAGTGATAAATACTATAACTGATTCGACCCAATATATGCATATTTATAACCCTTTCTCTTTGTCGTCTAACTTGTGTAACATTGTCCTTGGAATCATTACGATATGTTTTGTCATGTCTGAGTGTGTTTTGTGCTCTAGAAGGAGAAATTGGCAAAAGGATCGAATGTTGGACGAAAATGAGCCAAAAAGGGACCAAATGGTTGAAACATTCAAGGATAACAGTTCAGGGCATTTCTTCACGGTCTCATGACATGAAGATTTAACCAAAATAGTAAACATCAAATTATCCCAGGAAGAGCAAGACGTTTCGCGGGCTTTTGCAGACCTCACGCTCTCAGGGCGTGAAGATTTCAACCAGGCCGTGAGGTGCGTTAGTGAAACAGTGCACATTCGATCGACATCACAATTTTTCTGCAAAGTTCACGGTCGTGACAGGCAACCGTGAACTCTGCGCTTCTGGCCATAAAAGGGAGGAGAATCAGATTTGAAAGGAGAGGAGTTTTAATTTGTTTCTATCCTTTTCCCCATTTTGATTGTCTCTCTAGAAATAAAATCCAACATTGAATATAAAAAATCAAGAACGTATGTCAACCACCATAAAAATAAACAAAGCCCTCTTATTAGTTGCTAAATTTTTTGAGATTTCTAATATTTGTATTCTCATAATTTATAGAGAAGGAAATGGTAATGCATACGATTTTTTTTCTTTGTATGAGAATAAGAGACATAAATTACACGAGACAACGATAAGATGACAAAATTTTGAGCAGTTGTAACATATTTTTGCCTATTGACGAAAAAAGTTAATCTGATCATTGTTAAGATGAGGTGAACCAAGCCGAGAGTTGTCGACTGCTCCCTCTTTCTCCTTGATCTGAAGCTGACAACTGGTCTCACTTTCTCAGCGATATGTTATTGTTTGTGGTTGACTGGCCGAGTTATACTCTTTTTCTCATTCTTTTCTTAATTTCTTCCACATTACGACTGCTGGATGGTAAATTTTCCCACTCTCGATGAGTGAATATATTTCGTCTTTGTTTTTTTACTGAGAATGGTCGCCATATACTTTCATGTATATAAAATATAATTAGAAGGGTTAATTGGTTGGACTTAGGGCATACCTCCTTTGGTTGAATAATTGATCGTTTTTCTTGAATGCCTATTGCAACCCGATTTCTTGAATGTTGAAATGGAAAGTAGAGTTGTGATGATTGTTTATTATATTTTATATTCATGATTGACATGCTACTACTAGCTAGCTATACAATAATGATCTGGTTAGTAATTAGTAGGTAGCAAAGGGGTTATAAGTAGAAGGGAACATAATTGGGGTTTTATAAAGGTCGTGAAGAAGAAAGAAATGATAATTGTGGTTTCTCGGTTGTCCATTTCGATGTTCTTTTTTAATTTCTACATGTTTGCGGTGACATTTGTTTGTTTCATTAAGGTGAATTTTTCTGCATTGAATCCCTAACTAAAGATTGATTTTTACATGATTGTTTTCTTACAAACTACTATTTGGATTGATGCATATATTCCGTTCACACATGAGGAATCTGAATGATAAAATGAGTTGAGTTGTATTGAAAACTGCTCCTTTCATTATTTGTCTATGTTGTTATTAGGTAATAAAGCACAATTCTTTTCTGTAGGAGATATGTAGCTCTCTACAAAATATAAATTGTGTTTAATTATATGCAGTTTAATTTGCTGAAAATATTGCTTTAATAAGTTAGTGACAGCTGATAGTTTCGTTTGTGATTGGTTTTGCTAGAACATTTCAAGGTAATTAAACAAGTACGTGGAAGATTGATGGACGTGGATGCTAATGAGTTTCCTCATTATTCCAAAATTGTATGTGTAAGTGATAATACACGATATTCATGAGATTTAGATCGGAATATTCTCTATTATCATATACCGACATATGAGAAGGGAGAGAAAATAAAAAGCTCTTCACTTATTTTTTTACATTAATTGAAGCATATTTTCTTATTCTAACTTCTTCTTTTGTGGCCGTAAGTTTTTTAACTTTGTTATCACAATTCTGTGCTAAAGAATGAATAATCTCTTATGTTTATAATCTTAAAGGGAGAGTTCGATAAAAAAATTCTAAATCAATAAAGAACCGTCTACAAAGAGCTCGGTTAATAAAATTAACATGTTCATAAATAAACAAAAGGTATAAAAGTACGAAATAATACCTGAAATAAGGTAAGTGGGATTTACAATTCCATGTATATTACATTAGCAATCATAAATAATAATAACAATTAGAATACTATAACGAATTATAAAACAACCAAACAAAATACACCGCCCAACGGGCGGGTAAAAAACTAGTAACTATAATGATTGTTAAAAGGTTTCCTCCCCCCTTCTCAAATCCTCCCCTTGTCAAAAAAAAAAAAAAATATGAAAATGGATGACTCTCAAAATTTTATAAACAAAAACATATATAACCACTATACAAAGCTTTCTACTGTCGAGCACATAACTCATTTGAATCTCCCAACTTTAAACTCTCAAATCCAAATTAAAACAATAAACACAGAAAAGGAAAGGAGGAGAAAAGAATCGAAAAATAAAGCATGGCGAAAAAGCTTGGGGGAGAACATTTTGATTGCCACGAGAGCTTCATGAAGAATCTCTCCCATGAATATATACTTATCAGGTAAAAATCTGGTCCTTTTGTTCAAAACAAGTTTGAATGGTCCAAAAGACCAAAACAGGCAAAACGCAACAAAAGAATCTAGAGAAAAAGACCAACACCCAACACACTGGAACAAGAACAAGAACAAACACACCCACCTTTAAATCTTTGGTAGTGGCCACTTTACTTTAGTTCTTTAGGAACTCATATATATGCTAACATTCCATAAATTTGATTAAACTCTTGGCAAAGAATTCTTTGAATTGATTGAAATGGATATTTGGGTATTTGTCCTTCCTCCCTAAATATCCCTTTCTAAATTCCATGGAATGGCACACTTGGAATTCAGAGTAAGTAGTGGTTAGAAATAAGAAATTGTAACAATTTCACATTTATTCAGCCTAAATTTGAGAAAAAATGAGAGGGACTAGTACGTAATTCACATTTTTTTTTTAGCATATGAATACACATTAAAATTGCGGATTATATATTAAAGTACTGTAACCCCTCTCTATACCACACATAGCTCCATCACAAATTCCCTATGGGGTCGTTTGGATTAAGAAATGCTTAAATGAGGGATTTAGGTCCAATTCCCTAATTTAAAAATCCAGAGATTATAAGTGTGGGTTTTTGGACAATTCATTTGTTTGTTTACAGGCTAGGATTTTATTATCCAGGAATTTAATTTTTCATGACAAATATCAAAATACAACTTTGCCCTTCTTTTATCATAGAACGAAAAACCTAATCCCTAAGCCCTCTTTCCTTCCTCTGCAATTTCTTCCGCCGTCCAAGACCAACTAAACAAATCCAATCAACCTTATCCTTTCTCCGCCCACCTCCTACACTCCGGCCACTCCTGCCATCGCTTCCATCTTTCCCTAAAGTACTCGTTGTCGTTGGACATGCGACCCCTCTCAAGCGACGGCGACGTCATTCTCCTCAGTGGTCGACCCAGATCCCCGATCCCCCTCCCTGGCTTTTTCGATTCGCGATGGTCGAAGGAGTTTGCAAGGAGTTTGATCCTCGACCCAGTCGTCGTCGATGGAGGCACTCATAAGGGGAATGAATTAGTCGACGGAGCTGTTGTGGGTTCGTTCGGAAATGGCCGACGGAGCTGGAGGAAGAAGAACAAGATGTCGACGTTTTTTATGGCTCTGTTTGCTAGATGGTCAACGGATCTAAGGGAGAGAGAGGAAGATGTTGTCGACGGTGGCGGCTTTCTTCGTGAGCGGCTGGCGAATCTGGGGAGGGAGAAGAAGCCGATGAGTTGTGATGGAGGGAGAGAGCTTCTCGCAAACGATGAGAGGTAGGTGTGTGGAAATTGTGAGTAAGGGTAAAATTGGATTAACAAAAAATGAGTAGGGACATGCTGGACAGAAATGAATAAATTGGGGCCGAATTTTAAAATACTTGGGGGGTGGCAGCTATTTCTAATTCCGGGCTGGGCCGGATTTTAAAATTCTGAGTGGCCCAAATCTTGCATTATTTGAGAGCTATCCAAACAAAGGAATTTGTTAAATTCCTGGACGGGCCAGAAATTGGGCCAAATCCCTACCTCATTTCCCTTATCCAAACGAGCCCTATATAAACTATAAGGAAAAGGGTTCGCGGTTCTAATATATATGCTTTCATCCCCTTCTTTTCAAGTTTTTTTTCGATGTTTTTATTCTTCCTCCAACTTGTGGTTTTTGTTTGTTTGATTTTTCTTCGAGATTCTGTATATTGATATGATATCTAAAAAGATTCTTGTTTTTTTTTTTTTTTGCCTTTGATAAATGAAATAAAACCACCTTGTTACGGATTAACGATCATGGATCAAAATAAAGAATATTACATGCATTCACAAGATGCATGACACTCTTCCTGTGAGCTCGATCTCCCTTTTCTAAATTTGGCCTGTGCCTCGTGCCAGCTTCTGATGATGATCGTGAAAAGCTAGAGCTAGCTAGTTTCTCTTCATCATTTGTAGCTTCTAAGCTCGCCCAGGTGGCCGTTTAGAGTTCCCAGCTCTCCTGATCAATCACCAAAGTTCAGATACATAAGCGTTTGCTTAATTTTCCTCGCATATATGAAATCTATACCATAACAATTATATTCAAGTAAATGGAGTGATGAACACTATGCATGTATAATATTTGATATTATGTTAGACTATATTTTTGCACGAATATGTTAATCAAACAATGAAAAGTGCAGTTAATATTAAGGTGTATTAATTATTTATGTAATTTATTTGAGGAAGCTCAGTTATGTTAGTCATTTTCTTCTTATCCATTTTTTATTGGATTTTATCCAATATTTTTACTTTTCAGAATTAACTGACTTTCTTCGGGTTGAAACCACATTATTGATGTGGAATTTTCGGTGAAGTCCGACTATATCTGTTGACAGATTTTAATCTCTTCAGTTAGAGATTTTTAGCACCTTGTGGTGCCTTTGTAGCTGGTTTCTGTACAGGAAAATTTAGTATTGTGAAGTTATGATCGAGCATCTCCTCAACCTATGATGGAAAGCAAGTCTCGTTAAATGATTTATTCAATTGTTACAAATAATCTTCAAGGATGTGCAACTGACTCGGTCGGCTTCTCAGGTGATGGAACTATTCCATTTGACTTTCATAATTCTATTATGGTATTATCGATGATCATATCAAATTGCTTGTCTTTAGTGAGGCTATGTGATTGTATCTTACCCTTAATGTATTGATTGTTACATATTGCGGGGTTTCTCAACTGATCAACATGGATCCTACATCGAGGAAGCATTCTCTTCCCAGTGCATGAGCCACTTTCAGGGAAGTTTCTTTTCTCTCTCTTTCTGCCCCTCGTGTCAGTTTCGTGTCTTTTCGCTCCTTGGAGCTTTCTCAGAGCTGCCCACCTAGTGGCATAACAGGCTCTTTCATCGGGAATCCGGTTGCATACGAATTACCGTTCTTTATTATTATATGTTTTGTATTTTGTTGTCCGGCCATGCCTTGGGCTTATCTTGGATTAAAAAAAAAAACAATGAAAAGTGCAAGATGGGTGCTACGTACCAGCCTTTTTTTCCCCCCTCTAAGGCGTATAAATTATATTCAATCATATGAAACTGAACAAAAAAATTTCTATTTTCGATTTCTAACTCTTAACTCAATATTTGGCTGGGCTACTAGTGTCATGACTATATATGATAAGATAAATGCATGGTATATAGAGAAAATGGTTCTAATCATTTCGGGATGATATGATACATTTCATTTCTTCGAATTTCAAAGATAATATTGGTTACTATCATCAAGATCTATACCAATGACCGTTCCATTCGGGCTTGTATTGCACGTTGACTGTGCATATATATGCCCCAACTATATATATTATATTAATGTCATCTGATTTTAAACATATTTTAATTCGAAAACAACACGTACGTATCCATCATGGTTTACGTCCTAATAATTTTTTTTATAAGGGTGATATAGGTTTCTTTTTTGTGATTAAGGTATTACTTAAGGAATTCGAACCTGAAACCTCCAAGTTCTAGTGATATTACCACTAGACCAAGCCCTTGTTCGTACGTCCTAATAATTAAGAAGAAGAAAAAAAGAGAGAGGAAAGAAAAGCAAAAGTTGGAGCATGAAAAAGGCAAGCTTAAACGGCAGCTCTCGTAAAGCTAAGGCATATTATCTGAAGAGAAGAACCATAACAATTAATTCTTTTTTATAAAAATGTTACTTAGCTTTGAATAAACAGGTTTAAGGGCCACGAATCGAATAAAGTGACAAGACACTAAACTATATTGTTTCTTATTCTTTAAATCACCCCTCCTTTCTCCTTCTATCACATATCTTTAGAGTAGATTTCCCATATCTTAAACCATACCATTCAAACTATTTTGGTCGCTCCAATCTAACAGTAATCAATCCATTTAATTTCCCCCCTCAATAATCAGGCCATGTATCGAGAAATGAAGAAGAAAAATTTAATGTTCTCGACTTTTACATAACCTTTAAACAAAAAACGACAAACTATTACCATAATGTTTATATTATCCTCGACGATGATATAAACATGGTGACAAGTCTGTTTACGATCGAATTAGATTGTTTACACACGTACGCGCCAAATAAGTGCAACATAATAATATATGGCTAGTCTATGTATACCTGTTATGAATGGGATCTGGACCATTTGGAACTCTCCTCTTGCTCATCATGTAGTTGAGGTTGGACTGATCGGTTTTATGAACAAGCTGCTGGTTCCCTTTCCCAACCACCTCCACGTCATCCCGTCTGATGAAGCTTGCTCTTGTGACGCTAACCGAACCGGTTTCCAACCCCAAGCTAGACCCAACCAGCAAAAGCCACACACACAACAACAGTACTACTGTCGATGATGTGTTGCTTCTTCTTCTTCTTCTACCCATCTTAATTTCTCCCTTCAACTACGTATAACTAACTAATAAACCAACTAAGGACTCTATATATATGTTGAGGAGATGCTGTTAAGAAAGTGGCGAGAAAGAGGATGGTAATTAAGAAGATGAGGCAAAAGGGAAATAATTTTTGTTTGTGGGAAGTTCCAAGGGATATTGGCGGTAGGTTTGGTAGTGTCTTTTATAGATGGGAGCTAGGGATTCGGTTTGGGGTTTTCTTGAAGAAGAGACAGACGGGAGAAGCAAGCTAGCTAATTAGGGTTTGTTCTTTTCTTTTCTGTTTGGGTTCGGTTTCTTTTTGTTTGCATGGGGAATTGGTGCTTTACAGTTTACACCACTCATAAAAAAAATACGAGCATATATAATATATATGTACTAGCGCAGAGTCCGGCCCGTTGGCCGGAAAGTTGTTATTGACATGCTTTCTTTTTCTCTTTTTAGTTTTGTGTTTTTTTATGGCGCCTAAAGTCAGTGAGATGGAACAACAATGATGATATATAATTTGCTAAACAAAATGCAACTAATGAGCTTGTTCGATTGTTTAGTGGTTATAGTTTGAATTATTGGTCAATTAAAATTCGTGAAGCAGTTTAGGGGATGCTCTAAATTAACAGGGAACACCTACCAGATAAAAGCCTCCTATAAATTTGTAGACAATTGATATCTTGTAATCATCGTAGTGTGGGATCACTTGCTCCTTTCTCTTCATATTTGGTTGTGGAGTTGCAGCAAATTTGCAAGTTCACCTATATATTTTGCCAGATAAATGAGTAGATATCCATGATGCCTCAATGCCACAACTAATAAAATGGGAGGAGTTGTCTTTATGTAGAGGAAGTAGTCATTTCTCGAGACAGATAAAGCAAAAGAAAATCAGTAACACACGTCGAAAGCAAAGTTATAGAAGCATGAAGACAATAATATCGTGACTCATATTAGCTTGGCCGCATATATATATCCAACAAACCTCCATTCCCTCGATAATCTATATAATTGGCATATAAAAAAAACCTAGAGTTTAAGATTTTGTACCCTCGCTGAAACTCCATAGCTATGGTGGATTCGAATTCAAACTGTGTAAATAAATCATGATGCACAACAACAATCGAAATGAAGTCTTATTGAGCTCATCAATCAAAGCACGTAGCTCAGGTTATTCAAACATTATCCTACCTAGAGGTGGAAATTCTCAATTCAATCAATCCATCCATCCAATAAAAATATCCAACTGATCCAATCCATTTAAATCCAATCCATTTGATCCAAATCCAATTGGATTGGTGGATTCATGGATTGAATCCATGAATCATTTGGCAAATTACAGTTTAGTACATATAATTTTTATTTAGTATATTTTGGTACCTAAAATTTAATTTTTATACGAAAATATCATTGGAAAATTACATTTTGGTATCTAAATTTTTTATTATGACACTTTAGTACCTAAACTTTTCGCATTTTACATATTGTTCATTGGTTGAAGATGTCATTTGGATTCATAAATAATCCACCAATCCACTTGATCCAATTCGAATCCACCAATTCGTTGGATACAATCCATTTGATCCATAGATCCACCAATCCAATCCACCAATTCAATCCATTTGCCACCTCTAATCCTACCAATATAAATATAAGGGGATTTAACAACTTCTAGCTATAATACTTTGCATAACCACTCAAAAGTCAAGTGTTCCTCCTTTTTGGACACATAAAAAATTAAAACTAATAATTGTTCTTATATTGTATTTATTCTTGTAGAGTTCAAGTAACAACATATGAGCTCATAATTTGGATATACCTTATATATTGTGTTGGATGAAAATCTGAACCACCATATAGAATGACAATATGGCAGGCAGAAAAGAGATTTATCGAGCGTCTTTTTCGGCTTCGGTACGGGAATCTCGATACCCATACCCGCTCCATGGTAAGTCGGGGTCTAGATCAGGTAATTTCTCATAGAGAGCGGGTCAGGACAGATCAACTCATATGGGTATGTGATTTAAAGGGAAAATGTTAGAAATATTCTTCTTTTTTTTGTTAAAAATCCAAGAAACAAACTATAGCATGATTAATATAGTTAAATTATTCGAGAAATTGAGATTCTCACCTGGCTGGCATCTCATTATAGCTAAAAATGAAGTAACCAAAGTATAATCCTTAGTCATTTGAGTATAATTACATGTAATTTAGGCAAAAACGCGCAGAGAATGAGGTGGGTCGATACAGGTCAGGTCGAAGAGAGTACATATGTCCACCCTGCCCCACCTATGGGGTGAGTATTACCCGTAGGAAAAAAGAGATTTTTCTCATTCAAAAATCTTGGACATTTTATTTGAAATAACGAAAAGATGACCAACAATCCCTTCCATTATTACTAATGTCTAAAGTGTTGCATTCACCTAGTTTTGCAATAATAGCTTGTTCCACATCAGGATTAACTATATTTTATATATTTCGGGTTTATTTACTTACTTTTGAAGTACATTTAAAATGTTCATTTTCAAAGTTACCGTGAAAAAAAAATTCATTCTATTCAATATTTCTATGGGGTAATGAAAAATTAAAAAAATGTTTAAATTAAAAAAAATCACAAAACAGGTCAAATAGGTCGGGTAAAACGGATCAGGTCGAAATTGACATACCATTGGTATATATTTTTATGTGGTAGCTATTTGTGATGATGGTAAGATAATTATATTAATTGCATGTATATATGATAAATGTTAACTATGAGTTGATTATTATGTTTTATTCGTTATATATATATATATATTATGAATTGTTATCAACATGGATTTTTTTCCTACTTAATGATAAAATTATGTTATATTAATTAATATATTTAACCAAATCGATCAAATTTGTACAACAAACAAATTCATGATTGATTTGGTTAAGATATAAAATTTCATGATTGATAGAAATTAGTCTTAATCGATTTGGTAAATCTTTCAAAAAAATTTCAAATTCCTCCATGAAAATATAGTGATATTTGTTTCTTTAAGAATTTTATAAAATCAAAATAAAAATATACTAATTTTGATAGTCGAAATCAAATTATTTTATTACTAATTTTGATAGTAGAAATCAAATTGCAATATTTTTTTTACTCTAATTCAATCCAATATAGATCAAATAGATATTTATGGCTACCTTACCTGCCATAGATCCCGCCAATTTAACACCCCTAGCTACAAATTATCCTACACCATACGGAGCTTGACCCATCCAATAATGTGCAGCTAATCATATAGTTTAGGCCTAGGGAATGGAGGATCAATCGGCCCCTTGTATGATTGGGTCTGACTACATGGAAAACTTGAACTGGGGATGACCATGAAAGCATGATTTCGACATGGTGCGACCTCAAATATAAGCTAATATTGCATATATCCTAATTAATTTTGCAGACCTCAAATCCGGATTTTGGGTTTCAGTGTGGTTGTAATTTTTTTCACAATCTAAGCCCATCAAGTTTGGGCTTTAGTTCGTCAGTGGGGCAGAATACTTGAGACCAGCGAGGGCTAAGGTTTGGTTTTGCATCACCGAAACGCAGAGCAGCATTAAGTGGGTATGAAATGCCCGGAGTACCCTTCCGGGAAACACTCCCATGCCAACAATTTCAAATTGGCGAAAAGTTGACACATGAATTGCTATTATATATTTTGTAGATAGATGTATAAGATCCCCCTTGTTCCATGCATACGATATCTTTGGTTCTCCTTTTCGCTTTTCCTTTCTCTGGGTTTGTGTATTTTCATGAGTAGACCAAACATATAGAGATTTATTGTGATTTTGTTCGTGAACGTGTACAGTCTTGCGACATTTTTCCTCGAAAAATCTTCATTGATGATCAGGAAACCGATCTGTTCACCAAGAGGCGAGGAGTTTATCATTTCTATCTCTTATTCAAACTTGAATGTTCGATCTCCATGCCTCTGAATGAGGGGGATAATTGTGATTCCTATTTTATTAATTTTCTATTACTTTTTGTGTTGGATTAGCTTTCTTATTCCCGACGAAAATTGGAAGAAGTGAATAGGGTTTTTGGTTATGCTTGTGTATAAAAAGACCTTTGTATCTGTTAATAGCTGATACATATCTCTCTCATTATACTCTCGTCTTCATTTTCTAGAAAATAATAAAAACTCAATTGTGAGTTTTAGCTCACCGTGTACTAATCTTGTTCGGTACAAATGAAGAAACCACATAAAACTCGCTTTGTTGCGTTGTTTCTAGTTTCAGCATTGTCGTTTTTTTTTAAATAACCAAAACCTCTATTTTAGTCCAAAAATAGTACCATTGAGAGAAAACTTTATTTAAGCTAAGTTGGAACCCTTTGATGTGAGATGGAATATGATTTCTCTGAAATAAAGAGCTTGACAAGCTCGTTGAGTTGATAAAAGAGATGTTTCAGATTTTGGAGGAGGATACACACCAGTTGCATCCTAAACTGATTCACTTGTTAGGTTTACTGAAGGATGGTTTCATGAAAGTGGGTACAACGTCGCGTCTTCGATGATATTGGTGATATCGGCAGGGGCGATAGTCAGGTCGATTAGCGGTCAACTGGTAACCGATAATGCGTTTGGCGATTACCTGCCAACCAAAAAACATTACTATTAATTAACCACCAAGGCTTAACGGTTAACTGTTAACCATCTATGCAGTTAGCGGTTAGTTTAGTGGTTAACCGCTTGCCCGCCTATGAGAGAGAAAGGTGGTAGGTTTGAGGATTTGGAAAAAGGCAAGGTACATAATTGTCTTTTTCGAGAATTTATAAAAGGAAAGTGATGGGTAGGAGAAATCCTAGCCGAACACTACCTTCTACCCTTCACTCTCATCTTCTAACCTCCTTTTTTTTCTCTGCAGATGAAAAAATGAATCTACTCCCTCAGTGAACCAACAAACACAAGAAAACACACATCTTATTCTCGTTCACTTTCAAACAATCAAACACTAGCAACATTTTTTAAATTCTTTGTGTACAATATTTTTTAATTCGGAGTTAAAATGAAGGAGATGAGACTTACCACTGTCATATCACGAAATTACCACAGATAGTGGTATGATGCTCATATGATAGAGGTACTATATTAATATGATGTACATATATTAGTGAAATGATGTCAGTATGAGGTCCTATGTTTGTCAAAATAATTTGATGAAATTATATCAGAGTCGGTATCATGATATTATCACTATAACATAGTGATAATATCATGATATGATGTTAGTATGATGTCTTATGTTTAATTAAATATATATCATTGTGTAGATCATAAATAATAAGTTATTTGTTTATAAAAGAATTTAAATTCTGAGTTAAAATGAAGAAGATGGGTGATCATACAACAGTCATATAGTGACGATACGATAGATATGACCGTGATAATACTACAAGTGACACGTATTTTGAAGAGTTAATTTTTTTCTTTACTCAAAATATAGCAAAATGGATATCATTGTGTATATCATAATTAATACGGTCTTTCTATGCAAAAATAATTTTATTCCGAGTTAAAATGAATGTTATAGGATCTGATTAAGAAAAATCGGGGATTAGAAAAAGTAGTCTTTGACAGGTCAACTGTTTCCTCTCTCTCATCTTCACATCACACTGTTAGAAAATAAAAATAAAAAAATGCATGAGTGGCAAAATTATCAATCCGCCCCTATTAGTTTATTTTTTGTACAAATTAATCTTAGTCATTAGATCGAAAACGAAATGAAGGGTGGATGATGTGAATTTGTAGGATATGATTTTCTACCTTTCCTTTCCCATAAACCAATGAAGCAAAACAAATTACAGCAATTTATTCTTTCCTTTCCGTTTGATGGTTGTGACAATCTAACCGAATCCAATGCCATAACATATATAGATAGCACAAGTTGTATGAAGGTTTGTAGGTCAAGTGTGGGACGAAAACATTGCAAGCTGGTATGCAAAATGCCCTATTAGAATCGGACAAGTTACAATGAAAAGATTACAAAAGTGAGTTATTTGGTATGGGTGGGAATTTGTCCCCTGGCCTTTTGGCTCCAGTGAGTGCAGTATATAAATCTTAAGTTAGGAACTAAGATTCTGACATTGGATCGCTTTGCAATTCGGATTGACATGACCTTTCATGCTTTGTAATGACAAGAACAAGAGGAGAACATCGTTAAACTGAGAAGTGAGAACAATATGTATGTATAATATATATAATAATAAATTATCATGCGCATAAAAATGTTGCTAATGCGGCGCCGCCTTTCTGCTCCAATTCAACAAATGCTACGTAGAAATTCTAGAAGCTATGGCATGGAAATAGGGAGGGGTCGAGAAAATTAATTATAATGATTTAAGGAATTTGAGAAGGAGATTTTGGGATTAGAGATTAAAGAATATAATTAGGGAAGAATAGAAGAATTGGTTGCCGGCCTAGGAGAGAAGGGTCAAGATTTGGAAGAATTAGGAGAGATTAGGGTTAAAGAGATTTTTCTTAATTTATTATTATGTAAACTCAAAGTGTATATTTATAAAAAATACTAAACTAAACCTGATAAATAATTTAATATTACTCGAATACTATTAATCTTAACAACAATTATCCTACTATTAATAATAAGAAAAACTTACAAAAACCGAGTTTCCAACAAATGGATACTGGTATTACAAAATCTGATTCGCACTTAATGCTGGACGAATTTGGGTATTAGGGTATCCGCTCATCCTGTCCCATTGTCATCACTATCGCCCATGCACTTGCTTATGTGCTTATTGATTGATGGCAAACACTGTCGTAACAGTGTCACAGCGTGATGTCAAACCTGGTAGCATTACAAATGAGCAAAAAAAAGAAGCCAATTGGTTCGATCTTCTTCGAATATACAAGAGAAGCTAGTTGTTTCCTCTTCCTAGCTACCTCATGATCCTCAAATCACGCCCCAGCTGGAAGAACTGAATGCACACTCTTACAAGTCCAATCTCTCCGACTTGAAGCAGTTACAGCAACTTTCTGAACATCAGAAACTGCATCAAAGTAGGGTACATTAATTGACAAACAGTAGAAGATTTACCGACAAGATAGATGGTTATGGTGGATATATATCAAACTTCTTCAGAACAATGGATTTTCTGTGTATTCCATTAAAAATATAACATTAGCTGTACATGAGCTGGGACAAAAATACCCTAATAATGACACGGCTAAACCCCTCCAAAGAATACATCTATGGTCCAAGAAACTGAGGATAATATGGGTGGGACTCTTCTCAAACAGGTGATAGGCATCTAAATAAATATACAAACTTATCGTTTCCTTTTACTTCTAAGGGATATCTCAATCAAGTCAGCAAGCTGTGGACGGACGGACTACAAAAATTCTTCTTTGTACAACACATCTGTGTTCCCAGAAACTTCATTCAGTGCTTCTTCGATGGCTTTGGCTTCCCCCGCATGCTGGCTCTTCTGGCAACATCCCACGCCTTCTGGGGGGCGTGGACACCCAGCTGGGCAGCGAAAAATGACTCGTAACCTGGGGAATCAAAGGCAAAGCCTGTGTGTTTGGATAGCTCTCTTGGTAGTTGAGCTATCGCATAGCTTCTTTCCTCCTGTGGGGTCAGGCGGTTCCCAATCTCCAATAACCCAGCCCTTGAGTTGTCTTCGGGATCATTTCGGTGCATCTCTTGTACTATCTGATAGTCGTATGGGAAGAACCATCTCTCCACCCTGCAGCAATACAAGGTCCACAAAGAAGCCATTATGTAAAACTGCACACAGGCTACAGGTGACTGGCATTATGGGAAGAAAACTGTGGGGTGAATGAACTCACCCTTGATAGATGAAGTCTCCAAGAAGAGCAACAATGGGCACAAGAATTATTGTAAGGTAGAAATAGAATGTGCCCATCAGAACATAAATGACGAAGTAAACATTCTCCTGCAGAAAGAAATGCCAGCAGCCAGAATCTTAGAAAGCTGTAAATTAACCAAAATGAAAAGGTGACTTCAGAAGACAAGAGTCTCCATCCACAAAAGGACTTACCCGTAGCAGTGAATAGATAAGAATGAAGACAAACCACGCCAGAATACTTCCACCGACGCTAATGTAATGCCATCTTGTAATTGAATTGCACATCAGAAGAAGCCGTAAATTGACAGTGATTACAACACAAGTGAATGCCATTGTGCTAACATCCCAAAGTCCAAACATCCTTCCCGAGAGATTTTTACCACTAGTACCAGAGATCGTCACAAAGTGATAGAAGATCAGAGATTGGTAAACGGAGAAAAAAGCCCACGTCCACACAACTCGCCATTTGAAGAACATGTTTCTTATCCCCTCCTTGTACAGTTCAGGGTACTTCTTCGACAATGCCGTACTAACATCCTGGAAGAGACGTAATAATTCAACACTATATCAGCTTACTCGAGCTACTGATAGTTGTAAGTGAATGGAAATGTGCTAACAAGGTTAGAATTCTTATATAAAGGGTTGAAAATAGAGACTTGCCTTGTCAAAAAGGCCAACAATAATCACTGGCAGAGCGGTAAAGATGACATTATACAATGACTGGAACCAATCATCATAAAACCTTTGACCAGAGAAGCCGGTATGAAATGTGAACCAAAACTGCGTCAGAGTGAATGTAAGATTCTTGTAAAAAAAGTAGGTGATCACCTGTAACAAAAAATGTCAAACTTGAAATAAACCGGATGCAAGAGTACGAACAGGGAAAGCCTTCTACATCATGGCAACAATTAAGAATCAAGATTCAAAATTAGAAAATGTATGCACAAACAACCCAACATATCAGACCTTGCATATCCTGAGGTAAGACAACCGTCCATGTACCAAAAGTAAATCTGTAAGAAACCGAAACTGGGCAATTGCAAAGTCACTAGCCATGACTGCTTGCATACCCTCCAACCCACTTATTCCAACGCCAATGTGGGCAGCTTGAATCATGCTAACATCATTAGCACCATCTCCAATACTAAGGGTTATCTTCCGCGCACCTTTCTTGACTAGGCTAGTAACCTGAAAGTACAATGTTCATTTGAAGTTTAATGGCAGTGTGATACATGAAAGTCAGCAAGATAGCACGATAAAATTTTTGGACGAACACTTCATCTGCATCACGATATTCTTGACAACCATAACACAAAAAGTGGTACATCTAACTAATAACAAAAGAAAACCAGCAAGGCGCATGACACTGAAACGTCATCCTCTGCTCTATGTTAGAAGTTAAGATGCCCATACCCTTACTGTCAGCCATCACTCTCAATGTTCAATATATAATTCTAAAACTGAATTATTAAAGCTTCTCCAACATTCATGTCATGTTAAAGTCCAGCTCGAAGAGCACAAGAAGAAGCTTCTCCAACATTCATTGAATGTTCAATATCTAATTCTAAAACTGAATTATTAAAAGATGCTCCACGAGGCAAATACCTGAGCTTTCTGCAGAGGGGAAACTCGACAACAGACCACTGAACTGCAGTTCAGACTCAGATTCAGCAGCATTACACGCAAGCTAGGATCCAATGCATACATCAAACACTTTCCATCAATAACAAGTGTCAACTTGGGTCCAGATACAGTGCGCAAAGAGTGTTGCGCTTCCTCGAGACATCTTTTGAGCTCTCCTTTAACTTCTTCCTTCATAAACCGTGCAATTTCTACCTGGTCACCCTGAAATAAGAAAGTAGTCAATCAATAGAGTTATCAATTATATTACAAAAAACCCAGTACTTGGGAAGAAATATTAATATATATTATATATGCATCTAATGTCAAACAGATGGAGTAACTATTCACCTTTTCTTCTACTTCTCGAATCGCATCAGTTTCTGAACTGATGATAAACTGTTTCATATCATTGTTAATCAAGTTGCAAGCTGCAACAACCAAAGAGATGAGTCAAGTAACAGAAAACAGGCACAAGTCCAAACAAACAATTAGTGCTAGGTCACTCTGAAGAACTCACCGTAAGCAATATTTATTGCAGTTTCCATCTTGTCACCTGTCAGGACCCAAATCTTAATTCCAGCTCTAGCAAGAGTCTCTATACAAGTTGGTACCCCTTCTTGAAGCTTGTCTTCTATAGCTGTGGCCCCAATCAAGATGAGATCCTTTTCTATAAGTTCCGCCACCTGTATAATGTTCATAATTAGCCTCATTAAGAACAACAACCACAAACTACTATACCAACAAAAACTAGATATAAACACTCATGATGCTAAAGATTAGGCAGTGAAGCTTGTTGAGTTTTACTTATAGATAAACTTGACAAGAAGTCACTCTACTACCTCATCAAGCTTTTTCTCGCGATCTCTAAGAGAAGATTTAGCTTGGATAAACTTCTCATTCCAGCTTTCATATGTTTCTGGGTGTAAATCCTTATAGGCAAGGCAGAGAGTACGCAACCCAGCAGATCCAAACTGCTCCAAGTGTTCCCGAGTTATCTTCTTAAGCTCATCACTCTCGGCAGCCAGTCTCTCATAAATTACAGTGTCGGCACCCTGAGAAAGCAGAATTTCAGTAAAGGACCATTCCCACTGTGATTTTACTTGATAATGTAATCTTTTTAGAAGACCAATTACATAGGAGCATCACCTTGCAGTACAATACAAGTCTACCATCTGCGTACCTACAAACAACGGACTGTCGCTTCCTTGTGCTAAACTCAAAAAAAAAAAAAAAAAAAAGATACAGAAGTTAAATATTAAGCAACAAATCAGAAACTAAACACTCAAATCTAAGAAAGACATGTCTCCACCTGTTAAACTCGAGAACATTCAAAATCTCATAAGGAACATCTGTAATAGTCCCCATCTTCTCTGCATGAGATTCACGAACGTATATCATAGTAGGGGTACGCCTGACGAAATGAAACCATTAGCAATCAGTATTTGGGTTCCTCCCACTGATGACAGATTGGCTAGCCTAGACATCTAGTTTGAACTGAACATCTTCTCCGATAAAATGTAAGCTCATAAATTCACAAGGAGAAGAGAAAATGCAGAACACAGCATCATTGCAGTTGTCAACCTGTAGAAGAAGAAACCAAAATTCTTTGCAGCAGTGACAAGAGCAGCCTCATCAGGAGATGCAGCTTGGTATGTAATCTTGTCAGGGGACTCGTCACCTTCAGTAAGTACAGTATGGCATATAGCAAGGCACCTGAAAAATTCCTGCAAGACATGAACCAAAAGAAGAAATAAGGCTGGGACATCTACAAGAAACCAATAAAAACTAAACTACAGAAACACTTATATAATCAATCATCACTTGACAATCCACAACAAAAGTTGGGTATGTCCTCCGGAGCTTAGAAAGGCATGCAACAACCACATGGCTAGCTTATAGGTTTAGTGCTTCTACTGCTGATGAATAAGTATATCACCTTGCATACATCAGGATTAGACTCATTCCTCCAAGCTCCTCGCATTATCCTAGAATCATCGAAATTGAACCCTTTCTCATGCACTGCATGGGGTGATCTCTGTGCCTGAAATGATTGAACATTGTCCTGGTCTTCAGAACATTAGGACAGTACCAAAAAAACGCATCATTTTGAAGACAAAAAACACATGCATTGTATCATGAAATGGAAGCAAGGCATACTTCTTGAAGCTTAGCACCAATCCTTTGTGCCCCACCCCGCTCTATCTCAGTGAAACCAGTTCCATAAACCTCTCCTCCAATCGAACACTTAAAGAACTCCATTAAATTCCGCGTTAAAGTTCCAGTCTTGTCTGAAAATATATATTCCACCTGAAAAACACATAATTTCAAAGGAATGTGTATATTAATAGCCCTATACTAAGTTCCAACTGCAATGATCATCAGCACATATGCACCCAATATAGCTTTTACCTGTCCAAGCTCCTCATTCAAATTCGAAGTCCTAGCCAATGCTGGGGTGTTGGTTTCAACATGATACATGTGCAAATCCTTGTTGATGAATTGAGCACACTGAATAAACTTGATCATCTAGAAAAATAGTTGAAGACCATTAAGTTGACAAGCTTAACAAGTTCCCCAAGGGACAATGGACAACTAATGATAACGGAAGCCGAACCCACCTCAATAGAGACATATAAAGAGATGGGAATGATTGTTGAGTAGAGAGTGAGTAGTGTAAACAATGTTAGAACGACAACCTGTACAAATACAAAAGTATACCGTTGAGAATTATAAACTCTCCCCTTCAGCCTTTTCCTCCTTTTCATCCCTAGGTGGACGTTCAAATAGACATAACATAAGGGAGAAAGGGTACCGAAAAACGGCTGCTAGGGTTAAACTCCAATCCTACTCCTCTTTGAAGCTCAAGGTAGTAGTAGTCACTACTTATGAATATCCCACTGCAGAAACTCAGAAGAAGATGTTGTCACTTAAGAGCAACACCCACCAGAAAGGCAGAAACAGGACAAAAGAAGAGTAAAATAGGATCAGATGTCATATCTAACCTTCCTATGGCTCCAACCAGGCACATACCAAAGAGAGTTCCGAAAAGAGTAAGAATAAGCTTGTCAAGTTTTCTCTCCAATGTACTCCTTTTGGATGGAACATTCATGGAATTCATCATTACCTGCACTTGATCAATGGCCATATTAACTAATGTGAGTAGATTCTACGAACATGAAAAGCGTGCAGGACAACGCTCACAAAAAAGAAACTTGTCCATGGCACAACCACCTCCCAATTGATACAATTTAAAGAATATATTTGAAATAGTCATCCAAATGATAAAAGTATTTTTATAAGCAAGCGGCAAGCTATGAGTGAAAGATAGAGAGTTATGGTACAAACCTTTGTTTCGTGTCCTGTAAAGATAACAGCCGCAACAATGTACTCAGTATTTCTAAGACTGCAACCCTGGAGAAAACTCAAGTTTCAACAAGTTCACAGTTATTTCATCATCATTTTATCATTTAGATAACAAAGATACAGCACTGGATGTGGTTAACTCATTGATACGAGATTAAACATAAAACCGTAAAGAAAACAAAGAGAGAGAAGACATACTCTCAACAGAAGTTGGTTTGGAGAAAGAGGAAGCGTTTGGTTTTCGATGATAAGATTGCCAGTGAAAGTGTACAATGAGTTGTTTGGCTGCTCACATTGCACTTCACCTGCATTAACCAAAGTAATATCAGCAAGCCAGTACACAGGAATATTAAGAAGTTATCAGTAAGAAACGAAATAGAGTCAGAAACCCATAAAGTTTCATAGAACAGATGTGAAAGGAACAGCACAGAGCCTAAATTATTGAAATACAATAAATTTAATTTTAGTCATTTCTAACTCCGTACTTAAGATTATCATTCACATCTCATAAGCCGAAGCGTAAATGTGCTCAGATGCACTTGATACAAGATTTCTGGACCATCACCTTTAAATTCAACAGCTTTCTCTGGGATCAAATAATCCCAAGTCCTTTCCACAGCTTTTCTAATCTTCAAGTTTGTTTCACCATCCAAGTTCGAAGTCTGCCAGTAGTAAGGGATATACCAAAAGTATCAAACTGGTATTAATTACACTGATATAAGCACGGAACTAATTATAGCAATTACAACAAGGAACGATAAACAAGGCTGATGGAAGGGAAAAAGTAGAACCTCGATATAACAGACACCATCTGCATTTGTACTAGCTAGGAAAAGCAGATCTGCAGGAAAGAATCCATCCTGCTTAATCTGTGAAGGATGGAACATCTTAGGTCACAATTATGAGTAAACTGTGATTGAGAAATTTCTCAAGAAATCGACAGTAAAGAAAACCATAAGCAATCACAGAATGTTCAAAGAAAAAGAACGATAAATCGAATAGTAACTGGCAGTGAACTTGAAATAGGAAACTCTCCATCCTGTTCTCATACTACCACTCTCACTTAACAGCAAAAATCCCATAAACAACTGTATTAGTCACGCAGCCTATATGACTGCGGAATTTGTTATTGGTGCAGGCTCTCGCTTATTATACGATACCACTGCAAAATGGATGCTTCCTCAACAGCACCTTCTTCTATCCCAGCCCCAGGAAGCCGCTTACCATAGACTCATCCCACCAATCAAAATCTACTCCACACATTTTTAAAAAAAATCCTTAGAAGAACATACCCCCTTATCGACTTTTGGATCGTGGATATATATGTATCCTTACCATACTGAATCACTCATATTCCCTAAAAAGTGGATCCCGCTCTAATAGCTCCGAATAATTAAATACTTATATTAGGAGGTCTAGGAGTGGTACAGTAAAATTACACAAATAATAAAGTAAAACAGGACACAAGGATATAAAATGAACAGAAAATACTGAGGTTGCAAGCACAGAGGGCCAACAGTGGGAATGTTATTCTCCCATCTCTTGTTTAGAAAACGAGAAAGACAAATAAATGACTTACCCTGACAATGTCTCCAACCTGCAACTTCTTCCAAGGAATAGTTTCCCATACTTGATCATGCAGCACATCTACAGGATTATTGTTTATCACCATATCATTCTGCAAGCGTTTCTGTTTCAGACAAGAAAACAGGCAAATATAAAATATATCAGCAGTGGCCTTGACTTGAACGCTCCTAGTGAAATTCAACCCTGAATTACCCTTCTAGTTCACAAAGGAAAAGGTTTAACTCAGACAAGTTGAAAACAGCTTAAGCCATAAATAGTAAAAATTCAAAGGTGTCATGTGCTTATGCTACTCACCCAGTCCTCGAATGCCTCCTTGATCAGAGAAACAAAAAGCACCAAGCTAAGGGGGACGACATTTGTCACTGGATTAACAGGACTGCATTACAAGATAGCATATTAATGCAAAGCTCTATAGAGAAACCCAAGAAAGGATTATACGAACGAAAGAAGGCAGCAGTTGTTCTATATCATGCACAGCCAAACTTGAACAAAAAAAAGAACAAAACAAGCTATCTTCTCACATTAGTAGAGACGAAACAGCAAGAAGTTTGTAAAAGAAATTAGTCCGGTTACCTGATAGGTGTCATTGAGAGAATAGAAATAAAGAGAAAGTAGCAGTTAGCCACCCGCCTGAACTGCCAATTTAGGGAAACAATTCCTCTCAGTAAAGAAGTTAACCAGCACAGGAATGTACAGATGACAGATGCATACAACCAACCAGAAACTAAAACAACAAACCACCCTCACAAATCTCAGGAACTATGTCACAAGCAACCGCCCTCCTTGGTACCAATGTCTGTACTATATTCACTTACAGGGACTAGCATATGGAGTTATTTCATTACATTAATTAGACGAACACATTTGATCATATGTTGTAGTGGTCTGAAGCGTAAGGTTGTTCTTCTAGAAAAAGGGTAATCAATAATTATGGAGACATTTGCACATTACACTAAACCTAAGTACTAGCCACCTTAACAAATAATAGTGTTGGCTATGTCTCCATTCTTTCCCATATTTTTCCTTCTACTTTGACTTGAGGTTGGAAAAGCACCATTGAATTTCTTCTCATTTCACTCAGTTCTTTTTAGTTAAAGTTTCAGCACAAAGATAGGCATCACTGGACTAATAATGTCCAACTTTGAAATTTGGAATAGATCTCTATGGGGTAATCATGCTCAAGATTTAAATGTCTAGTAAGACATTGCTCCTCTGATGCAGGTTGATAGACATGACGACAGTCAAGAACCAACAACAAGTTTCTGATCGAACCTAGTTTACCTGTTCAAACAACCCTTTGGGTAGAAAGGTCAAGAAGTTGTACTTTGTCGTCGATATAGAGTTCCCCTGAAACAAATCATTTCAAATAATTAGCAATCAACCACTAATCTAGAGAGGCTGGCCTAGTGGTAAGGAAAGACGTCCTGATCAGTTTAAGTTCAAACCTCGGGGCCAACATTATTGATAAGAAAAAAAGACCATGGTGGCAGACTATTCTATGGAACACAAAGTACAAACTAATAAAAATAAATTAACCAGCTTAATACAAAGTTGAATCATCTAAACAAAGTAACTCTAAAACCAATTACGAGAAGACATGCAAGGAGCACTGAACCTGGAACGTAAGATTATTAAATCTCACCAATGAAAATTTGAAAAGCAAAATTGTTTTTATAAATAAGTATATCAGCTTTTCTCAATTCAGTATCATTCATTTTGTTGTTGTTTTCCCCCGATAATGATTGTTAATTTTCGTGTTTATAGAATTGTAATAATGACACTACTGATCTTACATTATAGTACTAATCAGAATTCTTATTTGTTGTTCCAAGGGAATTCATCTATCAAAAGATAGTAAGATCTATTTTTTAATAAAAATAGGTAGAGTTGCCTCTCACAAATTCCTTATCAATAGGACACAGAAGGAATTTTCCTTAAGCTTGGATTCAAATACTAAGTAACCTACATGAAGCCTGCCCCTCTGAAGTCTCCCTTGGAGACTTTAACACTTAACCTTCGCTTGAAGATCATCTGAATTGCCATCAAAGATCAAACTGACTACTCTACCATCAGTACACTTAGCAGCTTCTTCATCGTAGATGATATGAAAAGCCAAACTAAATTGCCATTCCTTCCAATAACCTATCAAACCAGCAGCCACTGAAGAACTCGCGCACAAACTGTCCATAGGGGAGAAATTTCCCACACATAATTGATAAAACTAAAGCTAAATTGGTATGAGCCTGGAAGGTTTCAATCTGTTGACGAACCCTAGTATACAGACTGCCGATATACACACAAACAAGCAAGAGAAACAACGAGAGAGAAAGGCATATGACTATTTTAACATTAATTCCTAATTTAATTCTTATCAAATCATCAAGGATCACAAAACACCAGGACTGGACTTAGACTTGCTGATCGATTGGTTCTACCGCATAAGCTTACAGGACTTCCTACTCCTAAAGTGAAGAACGATCCAGCAAGGCACCGAGATTGGCCCGATCAGGTTAAACCAAATCTTCAAGATGGAATACATACTGCAATTACCAACTTAAAATATATATGTTCTCTGAAGGTCGCGCAATTTGGAAACAAAGACCAACGACAAAAACTGATTTATTTACATTCCAAGTTTCCCCCTTCAAAATCAAACTGAAAGAGAAAAATTTACGACACTCAGTTGAGTGAAGTACCCATCATCAGGGGGAACCTAAATAACCAATCTTTTTCCAACCTATTCCTCAGCGAAGCAAAACAACGCCCTAAACGAGGAGAGGAAAGCAAAGCAAAATCCTCTCAGGTGGCGTAAAAATAAGCAAAAGCAAAAGGCAGGCATTTCTCTCCATTTCCAAGTATCGGAAGCCTAACCTTGAATCGGACGGGGAGATTGGCTTCGCGATCATTGCAGTAAATTGTACGGTAACCAGGCGCCTGTGGCTGTACGCGGCCGAGCCTCACCGTCCTCGCCGTCCGCCCTGTCAAACTCGTTTCCCGTGACAACCTTCCCCCTCTCGTCGACCTAATCCTCTCCCATCCGCTGCCGCCACTCATCTTTCCCTCCTCCTCCGCCTCTTCCCAACCCCGCCACCGAGATCGGAATTGAAAACCGCTGATTCACAATCCCGCCGGAAGGGTAGTGATCCTATTCGAACTTCAATCTGCTCCTCGGGAACGCAAATCCCCTCCTGGGTAACGTCGATGGAACAGAGAGGGGGTGACAAGAAAAAAAATATCTTTCCCTTTCCTCCTCCCGTTGCTTCTCTCTCTCTCTGACCTTCTCTCTCTTGTTCCTGCTTCGTTCACAATTTCCTGGTTTATTTTTTTGGTTTTGTTTGAATTTTCTATTTCATTAAAAGTATCCGAATAAACCGCGTAACTTTTTTTTCATTTCTTCCGCTTAAAATATGTAAGTGTAGACGGATTATCACCCCCACGCGCAACCCTGCCGCGTGGATTGGCAGAGAAGGGACATTGCGGCGTTGGAATCCGACATTGGTAACGGAGCGTGAGAGTTGAGACGGCGGCGGAGGAGGAGGAAGTTTCCTAAGTTGCCATGAAATGTTGGAACTTTACGGTTTCTCGGACCGGAAAAACTTTAAGGACAGTGGAAACGGAATGGAAGTTATGCTGACGGACGGTGTCGTGGTGGGAGACTTTTCGTTGGAATGGAGCTTCCCGATTCGGAGATATGCCAAAGACGGGTGTCTTGGTGTAACTAACAATGCAATTGAACTTTATTATGACGTCATGTGGAGGATACCAGGATAGTGATGGCAATGGACAGGGAGGAAGGTCTCTCAATATTCATATTCGTCATGTACCAAGTATGGACCAGGGCGGGTATGAGTTAGGCGAGTCGACTCATTGTTACATGTTATTTGAAAATAATACATGTAAAATTTTACTCTTACAAATTTTAATACTCGACGCTCTATTCAAACTTAAGTGGTATGTCTACCTCAATTTTCAAATTTAAGTGGCATTCGAGATATTTTACCCCATTAAATTTCCCATTATGTTGTCACATTTGTTCCTCTGACACAATGTGTCGAAGGGCATAGGAGCGAGACAAACAAAGTCTGGATTTCCAGTTAAGACCGGTGGCTTACATATTTGCTTCAGTAGATTGATCAACCGCTGAATCTCAATGAAGGCTATCCAAATCTCTTAGCCTTCAATTGATTGTCCAACAACAAGATATTTGTCCGTGATAGAAAGTATTTGTCTTCTTATAGTTTACGAGTTTTAGATGCTCTGTAAAAGATTCGCATTTTCGCGAAACGCTGGAAGTTATAAGGTTTCGTGCATTTAACATCAAGCCAATCGCAATTATGCATACCGGGTCCCCGAATTCCACCAAACCTCAAACCAAATTCAAAACGAATTATAATTCGGTTTGGTCGGTCTAAACCGAATTGTAATTCAGTTCGGTTTGGAATTTCACCCAAAATCGAATTTGTGAGGCTACTTGTATCTTCTCCTTTTTAAATTAGTTTTCACCACTAATGTAAACAATAAATATGCAACTATATGCATCATCAATGTTAAAATCAAACATTTCAACACATAAAGTCATAAAAAGCTAACATGATTCAAATGAGCACTTCTACTATGCTATAAAGCATGGGTGCTTTGATGTACAACTTAAAGTTGTACCATAACGTAAAATGTATAAGTTTGGGTTGTACCATAAAGGAATTTGTACCCTTATGTTATGGTACAACTTCACAACTTTAAGTTATACCATCACATAAAGGTACAAGTTCAAGTTGTACCATAAAAGAATTTGTAAAATAGTATAAGTACAAGTTGAAGTTATACCATAACGTTAAAGGTACAACTTGAAGTTGTACCATAAATGCAAAAACCTATAGCACCAATGTTATATAGCATTGTAAAATTTCTCGATTCAAATATTTAAGTATCAAAATAAGTACAAACATAAAAATCCACCATTTAGAGCTTGCAATTATAGTAATTCGGTTTTTCGGTCGAAAATTCAGAATTTCGATTTGGTAGAAAGAACCCTGGTTTTCGAAATATCTATATTTCCCTTCCGAATTTCGAAACAAATAACATTATTTCATTTTCAATTCGGTTTAAGTTGGTTTCGGTTCGATTCAGTTCGGGTTTCCAAACCGGTTGCCCACCCCTACTTAGGATGATCAAAAAATAAGCATCACGAAGAAAAAAAATTGGAGGCAACAACTAAACAAACAAATGCAATTATAATTTATGGTGGTGCGTGCCAAAATGCTGGGAGATGGATAAAGTGCAATCACAAGTAAGGGCCCATCAAAGAGAGATTATATCAATTGGTAGGCTACCCTTCAATATATGAGAAACCAAGAGATAAAGGAAATTGACACACTTTTTTATGATACTAAGGTTGGTCTCAGGGTTGTCCATGTCACCGAAATAGACGATCACCCAGTTCTGAGACTACTGATGGAACCAAAGGTAAGATAGCCTAATGGTAAAGCTATCGCGACAGTGAAGATTTGAGAGTTGCAAATCACATGTTCGAATCCAAGTGAGGCCCGTTGGTGTTCCCGAAGGTACAAAACTGCTGGGGGCGAAGTCCAGTTGGCGTCGAATTTGATTGCAGGTTGCCCCCAGATTTAGTAGGACCCACTGTCACAAAAGTGACACGTGAGGCTGAGGTTTCTGAATATAAAAATACTACCAATAGGTCAATATCATTAACTCATGGGGTTCCTTAGTGGTGGCAAAGGCTCAAAGTCTTTTTCTCATTTAGAGCACTTATTGTAACCATGGTCGCTAAGAAATCCTTAGATAAAAAATGGATCATAGACTCAGGATGCCATGATCACATCACTAACAAAGTCTCTCTCTCTCCAACAAACAAACTTCCCCATTTCTCCTCACATATTCCACTCCATCTCCCTCAAATATGTTCTCGTTTTCACTCGGTGGGTCGACGCAAGTTGTGGATGAACCAGTGGAGGAATGTGTAGAAACTCAGAGAATTGTAAACTGACAAACTTCATTAGAGTGCAACTGCAACCCTTAAATACACAATGGGAATTAACCCGACAGTTCTGGCAATCACTACTAACTACACAACCTGGAAATCAGCAGCATGATCTCCACAATCAACTCCAAAGACTAACTGCTAACAGGACTTAAATGACACTAAACAGGACTCAAGGACTGAAACAATAAATGACCACTCGTCAAACAAACAGACTGAACTCAACACTACGACACCGTTTTATTTATTTAGTCTCCCATTTGAACCTTGGCGCCAAGACCAATCCTTCTCCTGCTCGGATTCGGATTACCCAGCAACTGCAGCTCAACTTCTTCTTCTCTAACAGATCCTCCCCTGAACTGAACCTTCTCACCATTGTTCAGTTCAACCAACTTCATCTTCATACTTCAGCAACAATCTCAGAGAAATCACACACACCCATCTTACTCCTCAAAAGTTGAAACACTTCCAATTTTAGAGGTTTAGTCATAATATCTGCAACTTGCTCCTGTGTGCCACAATGTTCGAGCTCAACCACTCCTGCATTTGCCAATTCCCTGAGAAAATGAAATCGCACATCAATGTGCTTGCTCCTACCATGAAACACTGGATTCTTGGACAATTTAATTGCTGAACTATTGTCACAGAAGATGACTGTTGCTTCCTTGACACTCCTCTGCCATCCCATCTGACCCAAAATCCTTCGAAGCCAGACACACTGAGCTGCACAGTGAGCTGCAGCAACAAATTCTGCTTCTGTAGTTGACAAAGCAACAACTGGTTGCTTCTTGGAGGCCCAAGAAATGACTCCACCTGACAGAAGAAATACATACCCACTAGTGCTCTTCCTGTCATCTGTATCTCCAGCATAGTCACTATCAGTGTACCCCAGAAGCTCCTCCTCTCCTTCACACCTTCTTTTATACCAGACACCAAAACTGATAGTGCCTTTGAGATACCTCAGCACTCTCTTAGCAGCTAACATATGCTGCCTTGTTGGATGTTCCATATACCTGCTAAGAAGGCATACTGAGTACATGATATTAGGCCTTGTTGCTGTTACATATAGTAAGCTTCCAATCAGCTTCTTATAATCAGTGGGATTCACCATTACTCCATCCCCAGCCTTGTTCATTTTGCTGCCAGGACTCATTGGATTATGCGCAAAATTGCAGTCTAGGAGATTGAATTTGGTCAGCACATCCTTCACACACTTCTGCTGACTAATAAACACCCCTGATTCCCTCTGAACAACTTCAACTCCCAGAAAATAGTGCATCCTCCCAAGATCTGTCATCTCAAACTCTGATTGCATTGCCTGCTTGAATTCATCAATCATGTCATAATTGTTGCTTGCATACATCAAGTCATCCACATACAAGCTTAGAATTAGAATGCCATTTCCAGTTTTCTTAATAAACAGTGTATGCTCATAGGGACTTCTTTCAAAGCCAGACTTGATGAAATAGGATTCTATCCTATTGTACCAGGCCCTGGGAGCCTGTTTCAGGTCATAGAGAGCCTTGTGTAGCCTGTAGACTTTCCTTTCCTCCCCAGCAACCACAAACCCTGGTGGTTGCTCCACATAAACCTCTTCAGTAAGCACACCATTGAGGAATGCACTTTTTACATCTAATTGATAGATTGTAAGGCCATGATAAGCTGCTAAGGCCAAGAAAGTTCTGATGGTGTCCCAACGAGCCACTGGAGAAAACACCTCTGTGTAATCAATGCCTTCCTTCTGAGAATACCCCTTGGCCACAATTCTAGCCTTGAACTTGTCTATGCTTCCATCTTCTTGCAATTTTGTCTTATATACCCATTTCAACCCAATAGCCACAAAACCTGCTGGAAGTTCAGTCAAAGTCCAGGTATTGTTCTTTTTGATAGAATGCATTTCTTCCTGCATTGCTGCATTCCATTTGGGATCCAGCATTGCCTCCTTAAAAGTTTGAGGATCATCAGTTATAGCTACCATTGCTGTCCAGTCAGTGATAGTGAAACTCATGTCATAATCCTGTAAATGACCAGGCAGCTTGCTGACCCTCTTCCCTAAATTTGCATTTGGAAGTCCTAAAACATCTGTTCCCATGTCCCCTTCATCCTCATTAATAATGTCCTCACTTGTTGAGCCCTCTTCTAATCCTCCTGGTGTGACTGGAGTAGTGAGTTGTGGTGGTTCTTGATCTGTATGAACAACTGGCTCAGTCAAAATTTCAGGATCATCTTCAGTGTCTGAATCAAACCAGTCTCTATCACCTTCTTCCCAATACAATTGTGTCTGAACAGGTTGCATCTCAGAATCCCATCTCCAACCTTTAGTTTCATCAAAGACTACATCTCTGCTAATCACAACTTTTCTGGTATTATTGTTGTACAGCTTATAGGCTTTTGATTCAGCTGATATGCCAATGAACTGGCAGGGAATACTTCTATCATCCAACTTCTTTCTCTGTTGATCAGGCACATGCATATATGCAACACAACCAAAAACACGGAAATGGGACACAGAAGGAGGATTTCCAGACCACAATTCTTGAGGTGTTTTACCTTGGTTTGCTGCTGTTGAGCTCCTGTTCAAAACATGTGTTGTCCAAGCAACTGCCTCTGCCCAAAACCCAGCAGGTACCTTCATATCTGATAGCATACATCTCACCATATTTAGAACTGTTCTATTTTTCCTCTCAGCCACTCCATTTTGCTGGGGTGTTAAAGCTGCTGTCAGTTGTCTTTTGATTCCAGCTTCATCACATAACTCTTTGAATTCATTAAGCATAAACTCCCCTCCTCTGTCAGTTCTCAAACACTTGATCTGTGAACCAGTTTCTTGTTCAACCTGTGCTTTGTATTTCTTAAAGTATTCAAGAGTTTCTGACTTAGTAGCAAGAAAGTAAACCCACAACTTCCTGCTAAAGTCATCTGTCAGAGTGAGAATATACTTTTTCCCACCATTTGAAACTGGTGTAAGAGGTCCACAAAGATCTGAATGAATCAATTCCAACCTCTGACCTGCTCTCCAATGACTCTTCTTGGGAAATGGTTTCCTGTGTTGCTTGCCAATGAGACAAGTAGCACAAACCTCCAGATTTCCCTTCAATACAGGTAAGTCCCTGACAAAGCCTTTCTGTTGCAATTGCTTGAGACCTACTGAATTCAGATGACCAAAACGCCTATGCCATAACTCCAGTTCTTTCTCCTTACTAGTATGAGTTTGAAAACACTGAACTTCCTGATTCTTTGGTTTATCATCAGGATGTATGACAAACATCCTATTTGATTTCATTTCAGTCTGCAGCAGTAAACCCTTTTCTTCATGGAAAATCTTGCAACTTGCATCCTTAAATAAGAATGTCAGGCCTTTCTCTTGCAATTGAACAATGCTCAATAAATTAGTCTTAAGTCCAGGAACATAGAACACATCACTTATCATCATGTTCATGTTTGCAGCCTCAATCTTCACACTTCCCTTTGCTGCAACATCCAATTTACTGTTATTACCAAGCCTAACATTTCCTGTAGGACTAGTAGTCAGCTCAGTAAACCACTTCTTGTCTCCTGTCATATGGTTACTGCATCCTGAATCCAGAAACCACCAGTTCTCATGAATGTCTTGCTTTATATCTTCAAGCAATGCCATAAACCCTTGAGCTTCCTCCTCCAGTTCTGTTGAGTCTTCAGAGTCAACACATGCCATGAGAAGAACCTCATCTTTCATGTCTCCCTGAGCCCTTGTCTGAATTTGACTGGAACTGGCATAGTGTGCCTGCTGATCATTATACCAGTCAGGACATTCATACTTGTAATGACCTAACTTGTGGCACTTGAAACATTCCACAGCTTCTTTGCTCCAGCCTCTACCTCTTCCTCTTCCTCGACCTGATCCATACCCTCTTCCTAAACCTCTTCCTCCTCTTCCATATTCATAAGAAACCCTGAGAGCTTGGTCATCCTCAGTCACCACTTTTGTAACCCTCCTGCTGAATTTTTGCTCATGCACCAGAAGTGAACTTTGAAGTGCATCAACTGTTATGGAGTCAATATCCTTGGATTCCTCTATGGAACAAACCACATAGTTAAACCTTTCAGTTAAGGTTCTTAGTATTTTTTCAACTACTTTCCCATCAGGCATATCCTCCCCACAGTTCCTCATAGTGTTGGCTATCACCATGACTCTACCAAAGTACTCAGAGATAGTTTCTCCTTCTTTCATTTCTAACAGTTCAAAATTCCTTCTGAGTACCTGAAGTTGAGCCTTCTGAACTCGAGCACTCCCTTGAAACTTTTCTTTCATTGACTCCCACAGTTCCCTGGCAGTTCCCTTCTTGGCAATAGTCTTCAAGAGAGTTCTATCAATAGAACTAAACAGGTAGTTCTTAGCTTTGAGGTCCTTCAGTCTCAAATCATCTAGAGTTTTCTGTTGTGCTGCTGTGAGTTCTTCTCCTTCAGCCGGTTCCCTGATTCCTGGACTGATCACACTCCAATACTCCTTAGACCTAAGCAGATTTTCCATAAGCAAGGTCTAGTGCTCATAGTCTCCATCAAATTTTGGAATGCAGACTTGAGCAGCACTGCCATTATCACCCATGGCGTTCTGTTGAAGAAATAACAGATCTCACTCCCCTATCTACCCTGTAAGCAACCTCACAGATATTCTCTCGTGTTTCCCTGACCCCAGACTATCTGAAGCTGTCTTTCAATCTCTCACTTCTGCACAAATCGTGGTTACAGTTTACTTTGAGTGCTCTGATACCACAATGTAGAAACTCAGAGAATTGTAAACTGACAAACTTCATTAGAGTGAAACTGCAACCCTTAAATACACAATGGGAATTAACCCGACAGTTCTGGCAATCACTACTAACTACACAACCTGGAAATCAGCAGCATGATCTCCACAATCAACTCCAAAGACTAACTGTTAACAAGACTTAAATGACACTAAACAGGACTCAAGGACTGAAACAATAAATGACCACTCGTCAAACAAACATACTGAACTCAACACTACGACACCGTTTTATTTATTTAGTCTCCCATTTGAACCTTGGCGCCAAGACCAATCCTTCTCCTGCTCGGATTCGGATTACCCAGCAACTGCAGCTCAACTTCTTCTTCTCTAACAGAATGGTGAGATCTTTAAGTGCGTGGTGAAGGGGAAAGGAGACGATGATGCTCCAATCCACCGACGGGCGACAACGAAGAGCTTGGTTTGCTCACAATCAGAGATTGAACCCACAAACGGCAGTGAAGAAGGAAATTGATATCATGTCGACACCAATGGGAGGGTAATTGAATTTAGGATCGGGTATGCCCTTTTCGAGATGCATGTGGGTTTTGTTGGGGGTATCATGAATAAAGCCCAATGGGCGCCAGTGTGGGCTCACAAACAGCCCAATAGGGGGGCAAGACCCAAACAAAAGGGAGGGGACATAAGGACAAGTCGCTAGAAGCCAAAAGGGGTCAGGCTGTCACGTGGGCCAGCGTCTGCGGGCGCCTGTCACGTGCCAGGAGTCTGACAGGGTGGTTGGGATGTCTGACCAAAAAGGGACAAAAGCATTAAATGAAGGCAGGGAAGTAGAGAGGATCAACCTCGATTCTGGTGAGTATAAATAGGGGCAGTTGGTAGCATTTACATAGGTTGGACTCTCTCTCACTAAACTTGGATTTGGAGACACTTCTCACTTCCCAGGAACTAACTTGGGCGTCGGAGGATTAACGGGCCCAGGCGCCCCCTCCTTGTTCGTGTGTGCAGATTGGCGCCTAGCAAGTGAGGAAATCGGAGTATCGCGCGAGGATAATGTGTCTCAAACAATTGGCGCACCAGATAGGGGAGTATAGCCTGGAGTTATGAGTGAAGAGGCGCCGATGAATGAGGAGAGGGAAGAAATTACAGAGGAGCAATCAGAACGAATGAGAGGGCAGACGCCCGAAGTGGAGGAAGGCGAGGAAAGTGAGGGCGTGTTTCGGGGATCCGAGGGCGCCTCAGTCACAAAAAAAGAATTGTTCTGGATCATCGAGGATCAAGACGAAGCAATCAAGGCGCTGCGGCGTGAAGTGGATGCCTTAAGGAGGAGTGAAAGGATGACGCCCAGCCCGTCAAAGAAAAGAGAAAGGATGGAAGAGACGGAGAGTGAATCTGGGTGCCTAAGGCGCCCCAGTCTATGGCGCCAACGCGATCACGGGGTGCCGGACGCAAGCGGGTGGAATGGAGGAATATTGGGGCGCCTGTCACGCCACTGCCCAGTGAGGCAGCCTCTGGCACTAGGGGTGGGCATCCGGTTCGGTAAACCCGAACCGAACCGAAACTGAACTAAACCTAACCGAAACCGATCTATTGTTATTCGGTTCGGAATTCGGAAGGCAAAACCCCCTATTTCGGAAACCAGGGTACGCACGACCGAACCGAAAAACCGAATAAATAGTTCAACCCACAAACCTACAACCCAATTTACTACTCAAGCCTCACACAAAGCCCAAATCTCTCATGACCCACATCAAACACAGCCCAAAATTAAACCCCTTTTAGCCCGGAACTCCTATCCATGTCTATTGCTAAATACTACTGCTAACCTAACCCTAACAGAGAAGAAGGCAATGCAATTCACTAGCGCCGCTGAATCCTCCTCTCATCTCTCGCCCCCGTCGAATCTCGTCTTCCCCTGCTGCTTCTAATTGAGAGGTCACCGGTGTCATTCTACCGTCGCCGCTCCATATCCCACCACCGCCCTTCTTCCCGCCGCCGCTCTGAATCCCGCCGCCGTCCACTCCCTCACTCCACCAAACACTCCTTCCCGTTCTCTTCTCCTCACCCAGTACCTGTCAAAGATCGAAAATAAAACATAAAACTCACATGCATCAAAATAGAAAAGGAATAGATCGAGAGGAAGAGAAGGCAGATTGAGGGAGGTGCAAGGATCTTCATCGCCGTCTACCCCTGCCGCGCCGCGTTGTTCACTGCATCAATAGCCATCGTGGTTGTCGTTGCAGCTGCCTTGTTCACTCAGTAAATCGTCGTTGCCGCCGAGTTTGCGGCCGGAGTAGAGAGAGAGAGAAAGATTGAGGGAAGGATTGATCTGGGGAGCATATTTTTAGTGGGAGATAGATGGGAGAGATTGATCGAGAGAAATCAGGGGAGTAGATTTTGGGGATATAGAGGAGAGATGAGAGAGAGATTGATTGAGGGAAAATCTGGGGAACAGATTGTTAGTGGGGAGATGGAGGGACGAGAGAGAGAGAGATGGGAAGGATAAATCAGTGGGGACTGGGGAGAGAGGGAGATAAAAGGGGAAGTCTTCCATAAATTCGGGTTTGGTGGAAAATCCGAACCGAACCGAGTTATATTTCGGTTCGGACAAACCGAACCGAAATATAGTTCGGTTCGAATTCGGTTGGAGTATTACTAATTTCGGAAAATCGGCATATACTAGTTCGGTTCGGTTCAAACCGAACCGACCGAATGCCCACCCCTATCTGGCACGGTGCATACTGTCGGAGCCAGCAGGAACAAACATCCCCCCGCTCCCTGCCTATGACGGAACGGGAGACCCCGAGGACCACCTTAACGGATATTTTAACAAAATGCAACTCTATAACAGCACAGACGCCACCCTGTGCAAGGTATTTCCGTCCACTTTATCGGGCGTGGTTCTCGATTGGTATCATCAGATCGGTGAAGGGCGCATCGATTGCTTCGAACAGTTCGCAGCGATGTTCTTGGCGAAATTTGCCAGCAGAAAAAGGCGCTCTTTGACCATAGGCGCCTTGTTTAAGGTCAAGCAGAAGGAGGAAGAGGCATTAAGGGAGTTTTACGAGAGGTGGCTGTCCGTGGCCTTAGCAGTGAAGGATGCCCAGCCGTCGGTGCTGGGGGTGTCTGAATGAGTGCACTTCCAGCGAGGAGCTATGCAGGGCGCTGGCGAAGAGAGATGTGGTGTCCACAGAGGACCTGGATCATAGAGTGCAAAAGGTAATTATGTTGTAAGAGACGCTAGCGGCCAGGAGGGCAGATCGGAGAAAGACAAGAGTGGAGGAGGCCGAGGCGCCAAGGAGGCAGTACCCGACGAGTGGCTCGGGCTACGTGCCCGCAAGCCAGCCCCCGCCGAGGAGGAATGATATGGGGCGCCAGGCGCCTAGGGGGGCAGGGCCCTTCGCCGAGTACAACGACACCCTGAAGAATGTGCTCCAGCACGTCAAGGAGAAGGGATACCACATCAGGTGGCCGTGCCCAATGCGGGGGCAACCCAACGAGCGGAACTTAGACCGATACTGCGATTTCCACCGTGAGATTGGGCACTACACGGCTGATTGTTACCAGCTCAAGACAGAGCTGTAGGGACTGGCGGACAGAGGAATGCTCAATGACTTCATCAAAAAGCCCGAGGAAAGAGTACATAGGGCCTGTGTGGCTGGAGTGGTGAAAACCGGGGAGGAGCTGCCACCACCACCCTATGACTTGGACCAGGAGAAGGCGCCTGATCGCGTGCGCCTGACGATCGAAGCCATTTCAGGGACAATGGATTTGAGAGAGAAGATAGAAGCAAAGCGCCGACTGAGGGCAGCGTCGGCGAAGGTGCAGGAGTCGATCGACATTAGCTTCAACAAGGCGCCGGAAGAAGCATGTATGCTCCCGTCCATGGACGCCTTGGAGATACAAGGGGTAGTGGCCGGATGCAGAGTGAGGAGAATGCTGGTCGATACGGGAAGCTCCATGGATGTGCTGTTCAAAGATACGGTGGTTCGCATGCAACTATCACCAGAGATGATCAGACCTTCAGAGTCTTTGCTAGTAGGCTTTTCGGGGGCGCCCGCCAGAGTAATAGGGCGGGTATGCCTGCCCGTCACATTGGGAGATGGGGAACAAAGATTGACGCGCGCCATAGACTTCGGGATAGTGGACTGCCCTTCGCCGTACAATGCGATTCTTGGAAGGCCCCTCCTGGCTTTGTTCAATGGGGTAGCTTCCACTTGTCACCAGACCTTGAAGTTCATTGCCCCTCAAGGGGTGGGCGTGGCCCGGGGACGAGGCGCCCCTCGTTACGGAAGGAAACAGGGCGCAAGCAAAGACACGTCGAGGCAAGAGTCAACGTGATGGAGGTCGGGGAAGGGGAGGCGCCTCGAGCTGAGGCGGCCGATGAAGATCTTTTGATAGCACTGGAGGAAGGGCGCCCAGAAAGGTGCGTCAGGATCTCAGCAGAGGCGCCAGCCGAAATGATGGAGCGACTCATCGCGCTTCTAAAAGAGTTCGCAGAGCTTTTCGCGTGGAGTGCAATGGAAATGCCGGGGGTCAAACCTGAAACAGCAGTACACAGGTTAGCGGTTGAGGAAGGGAGGCGCCCCGTGCAACAAAAGCGCAGGAACCTATCGCCGGAAAAGGAGGCAGCACTTAGAGTCGAGGTGGACAAGCTTATGGGCGCCAACTTGGTCGAAGAAACTTCTTATGTTACCTGGCTGTCGAATGTGGTGTTTGTGCCCAAGCCGTCGGGCGACTGGAGGATGTGTGTGGATTACACAAGCCTCAACAAGGCCTGCCCAACGGACGCCTACCCAATGCCCCAGATAGACTTGCTGGTAGACTCCACGGCCTACCACGAGATGCTAAGCTTCGTGGATATGTTTTCGGGGTACCATCAGATCCCCATGGCAGAGGAAGACCGGCCCAAAACGGCTTTCATGACGCCTTTTGGAAACTTCTGCTACCGGGTCATGGCCTTCGGACTCAAGAACGCGGGCGCCACGTACCAAAGAATGGTTAACAACGTCTTCCGTCAGCAAATTGGCCGGAATGTGGAAGCTTATGTGGACGACCTCATAGTCAAAAGTCGGAGACGGGAAGACCACATTGAAGACTTGCGTGAGACATTCCAGGCTATGAGGGCGCATAGGCTCCGACTAAACCCCCTCAAATGCGTGTTCGGCGCCGAAGCGGGAAAATTTCTGGGATTCATGATCACCAAAAGAGGTATAGAAGCCAACCCAAAGCAAGTGGATGCTATTCTTAGGTTGACCCCCCCGAAGACGCCCAAAGAAGTGCAAGGCCTAGCGGGCAGGCTGGCGGCGTTGGGGCGCTTCATCCCCCGGTCCGCTGACAAGGCCACTCCCTTCTTTCGAACGCTTAAGAAGGCAGCCCGTTTCCAATGGACCACTGAGTGCGACGGGGCATTCGAAGAATTGAAGCAACTCTTAAGCGCCCCGACCGTGATGACGGCGCCTAAGGTTGGAGAACCACTATACCTTTACATTGCTGTGTCGGAGGTGTCGGTAAGTGCCGTGCTCG